ATTTTCAGCCGATTTCGGGTTAATTGGGCGCCAATATCAATCCAAATGACCTGAATTTTGGCACAGCCAAACGAATTTAGACTAGAAGCAAGTACAACAAATTGGTGAAAATCTTTTCAGATATAGCTATAGCTCCCATATATAAGTTTCATCCGATTTGGTGTAAAAGTCCCTCACATGCGTAATATGCACTCCACAACAAGGATATTTGATACGGGGCATCAGATACAGCTCGAAAATACCCCAGCCAAATTTTATCGAGATCGCTTCAGATTTTATATACCTTCGATATACATCTTCATCCGATTTTAGGGTTATTGTCCACCATATATGTAATATCAGCCGAAATTGGATAGATTTGTTCATATCCAGCCGAAATTTTCCATTTGGTGAAACTCGGCCCGGAATATCTATTATTGCTGCAATGCAGGTGCAAAAGCCTCCGTCAAATTTGTTAAAAATCGATTCAGAGTTGGATATAGGTCCCAAATTGTGACTATTCTAAAGCCACGATACGCAATCAAATAATGTTCATTCGGGAGCTCTACTAAATACGCATAGTACTGTAGGGTATCATATAATCGGCCTGGACCGAATTTTGACCGTTCTTTACTGTTTTTTTTTTTTTTTTTTTGTAAAACATAATCATTGCCAAACATTTTTTATGATTTCCAAGTCATACTATTGGTAAAAGCTATTTCCAGGTCCGTAGTTCTGTTGAATTCCTACTAAGACATAAAACTCAAAACAAGCACATCCGGCAACTGATGCTTTCAAAACAGGATAATTGAAACTGACCAACCATAAATTATTGGTGCCACTGTTGGAATGAGGTTCCCCCAATTCGATACTGTTTATAACGACTTTTATAGCGTTTCCCCCAAGTCGATACTGTATATAACGACTTAAAGACGAGTTAGATCTGTTTCACCTCATGTTCATGTAGGTTTCTCAAGGTACCATTTCATCCTTTATCTTAACACCCACTTTACATATATTTTCCGTGTTCAATTCCATTGTATGACCCTTGTTAAAAAAAAGTCGACATAATATAAATGTCATTGTCGAAATCAAAACACAATTTTCGCTATTGTTGTTTTTGTTAACTATTTAGAGCACTTGTCAGCTTTAAAACAGTCATTTTCAAAAAATTGTTAATTTTTTTGTTTATTTACTTTCATGAATAAATTTTAACAACAGCTGTTATCAAAATATCAAAATACGAGGGTGGTAGTGGAAGTTAATTGAAAACATTGTGTATTTTAAAAATGACTTCCATATTTCAATCCCACAAACAGCAATCAGCTATTGAACCTAAAATTAAAATTTCAAAAATTTAAATTCAAGCTTCCCCTTTTTATACATAGTACCATTTTTAAGTACTAATTAGGACATTTTGTACACATTTATTACGAATTTCCAAAAATTTGATGTTAAGTGTCGCTCAGTTCAAATTTTACCTCTATCCACCCTCTCCATGTCAGTGAACACATTTTAGTACCAGCTTTGCACTTTTTGGAACCATTTTTCGAGATCTCTTTTGGAAGAACAGTTATCCTCAAACACCGAGCATTATATGGTATGAACCACAAGAATTTTTTCTAAACAACAGGAATGTTGTGTTTTCCAAATTCTAGGTCTATTTGTCCATCCTAAGTCGTATGTTTCAATTTGTTCGTAAAGTTCAAATGGTACAATATTTAGTACGTTATAGAACGTTCGTACAATTTTTGTGTGAATTGTTCAACGTTCTTTTTTGTATAAAATAAGGAGAATCCTAGACAAAATTTAATGCACTGGCCTCTGCCTAAAATTAAGTTACATTCGGAATTTTTTTACTCTTTCTAAATCGAAATTCTCATTTAGTACTTTTTGGTACTTTTTTTCCATTTCTGTCCGAATTTTCAGAAATTTGGGCTATCTCACCGTTGCATCCTGGCGAAGCATAGCACAGTATCTAGCACCGTTTGGGTACTTTAAGTACCGTTTAGGTCAAATTTCCTCAAATGCAGTCATATTTCACCTCTAAATGCTAAAAGTTGACCAAAGTTAAATTTTAAAATTGTAGCCTTTTCAGTTCAATAAAAACAAGTACTAAAAAGTTTTAGTACACTTTTTGTTCCAATTTTTACAAATGCTCTATTAGTTGCCAGATATGTAATTTCACAATTTTGGATCTCTTTGTTCATTTAAAACTATGATATAAATTTTATTACCCTTTGTATTTTTATACCCTCAGCCAAATGGCTACAGAGGGTATATATCATTTGATACGGTCAAAACGTGCCTAGTCGAAATAACGGTTTTAGACCCTAGGTCCCTTTGGACCAAATCCGTTTCAGATCATTTGGAGTCGATCTAGTGATGTCCGTCCGTCTGTCTGGCTGGCTGGTGCGCACGATAACTCTCGAAGGGAGTATCCGATTTGGTCCAAACTTGGTACATGGTAATATCTTTGTCAAACTTAGATCGAGTTCGGAGATGGGCAATATCGTTCAACTCCTTCTGGTACCTCCCCCACAAAAGGTTGGAATTTGCAAAAAAAATATTCTTTGCACAGAAAGAGAAAGGTTAATCCGGTTTTGTTCCAACTTTGCAAATCCTAATATTTGCGTCAGTACTCGGTCAGGTGTGAAAATGGACAATATCAGTCCACTACATCGAGTACCTCCCCCACAAATGGTCAAAATTTTGAATAATTACAACTCTCATAAAATGTGATGTACGAGTCCGATTGTCTTCAAATTTCACACATCCCAATATTTATGTTAACCCAAGGTCTGGTGTTAAGATGAGCCATATCAGTCCACTCCTTCTGGTACCTCCCTCACAAAAGGCCGAAATTTGCAAAAAAATATATTTTTTGCACAGAAAGAGAAAGGATAATCCGATTTTGCTCCAACTTTGCAAATCCTAATATTTGAATCAGTTCTACGTTAGGTGTAAAAATGGACAATATCGGTTCACTCCTTCAAGTACCTCCCCCACAAATGGTCAACATTTTGAAGAGTTACAGCTCTCATAAAATGTGATGTAAGAGTCCGATGGTCTTCAAATGTCGGCCATCCCAATATATATTTTAACCCAAGCTCTGGTGTTAAGATGGAATATATCCGTCCACTCCTTCTGTTACCTCCCCCATAAATGGTCGAAATTTTCAAAAAAAAAAACATATTTTTTGCACAGAAAGAGAAACGATGATCCGATTTTGCTCCAACTTTGCAAGTCGTAATATTTGCATCAGTGCTAGGTCTGGTGCGAAAATGGACAACATTGGTTCACTCCTTCAAGTACCTCCCCCACAATTGGTCAAAATTTTGAATAATTATTTCACACATTTCACACATCTTAATCATTTTATTAGCCCAAGGTCTGTTGTAAAGATGGAGTATATCGGTCCACTTCTTCTGGTACCTCCCCCACAAATATATATTTTCTGCACAGAAAGGGAAGCAATAATCTAATTTTGAAAAACATAACGCTCAAAGAAAGCGAAAGAAGGATCCAACTTCACACAATTTCACACATACAAGCATTTTTGCTAACACCAGATCTGTTGTGAAGATGCTATATATCTGCGAACACCTTCTGGTCCTCAGCCACAAAGGGACACAATTTTCAATATTTTTATCTATCATAAATTGCGAAGTAACTCATGGATTCTTTACATTGCTATATCCATCTGCTATAATTTATTTTTTTTATATAATTATTTTTATATATAATAATATTTATATCATATTTATTTATGTGGAATACGAAATAGACAATATTGACCGATTCTTTCAGAACCCACCCCATAGAGGATGAAGAGGGCTGAGGATATACATCTGTCGGCAAACCGATACTTTTTTACTTGTTTAATATAGCATTTAGTACATTTTGCAATTTTTAGTACACTTTTGGACCGAATTGCTACAATTGCATTTAGTACATTTTGCAATTTTTAGTACACTTTTGGTCCGAATTACTACAAATGAAGCAGCAGTACCTTATCCCAAGACATCAAAAATTACCAGTAATGTAAATATCATAGTTATACCTTTACCCCTTTTCTAAAAGCACAGAATTTTGTACATTTTAGAAATTTTTGTACCCTTTCACTTTGGATTTCTAAAATTTTATCATATTTTCGCCACTGCATTAAAGGTGGCACCCATATCAAATGTCAAGGTTCTAGGTCAAACTTTTTCATCTGGTACCGTTCCTCTCATTAACTTTTTTATGAGATATGAGAATTGTTTTGAAAATACCAAGTTTGTTGTGGCAGTTGTATTTTTTGTACTGCTCTCAATATGTGCAATTGGTGACGACGGACTTATCAGTATCGGTCACGATACACCCAACAAAAGTACACCAACACACGGACACGAAATATAAAATACTACAACCCTTTTCACAGAACAAGCGTTCATTTGTATTTGCTTTTAACTGACGTGGCTTTCGCAACGTTAACCAGACTACGCGAATTATAACTTGGCAATATCATCTCCCTTTTTAGACCAGTTAGGCAAGTTAGTTGGCCAACTCTCAACAGCACAGACACAGCACAAGTGTACATTGCAATGTACCGCGAACGATAACAGCAAATCATACGCCGCGCGTATTTATTTATTTTGAAATCTACTTCACTTCTGATCCCCTGTTTTGTTGTTTCGTCAAATATTTTCCCTCCGTTCTTTTTTTTTTCTTCCTCTCAGAATATTTGTATTTTTTTCCTGAAGAAAAAATCCGATCGTTTTTTTTTTTTTGTTTTTCGAAGAAAATGCTTTTGCAAGTTCTAACCAACTTTATCAGCGGTGAATTGAAGAAAATCAGAACAAATTTTACCATGTTTTTGATTTTCTTCTGGATCATATGGTTCTCACAGATCTTGGCCATTTCGACAATGTTTATGAGGTGGGTATTCTTTTTTTCTTTAGGTTTCAAATTTAAATATAGGGTTTTCCCATATTAAATTCAAATCTCAATTGAATGTTTTTTTTTTTTTTCATTTTCAGTCTGCCAGATATCACCGACATCCCCACAGTTACCATTACCGAATTGCCTTTGGAAATTCTCCAGCCACCACCTCAGAATTCCATGGACTCGGTAATAATTGCCGCCGATGGCCAGCCGGCCGGTGATGGACGTGTTCTCAATCACACCCTGGACATCGTTGTGGGTGTTAGTGATGATGATGATGTTAAAAAAGGTAGGTTCAAAAAATTTACCCTATGGGTTACCCTAAAAAAATATTTATACATCTGTTGAAAAACAAAACGAGAATCTACATAGACAATATTATACTACATGGATTGTTATCTATTGCGGGTCTTAAACACCAAATTTGAAACAATTTCGTAAGGATGTGATGTGACTAGTATTATCAAAATACCGAATATCGGTGGAGCTATAACCCATTATGAACTACAAATACCAATTTTTAGAACAATCCGTTCAAAAATGTGACAAAAATCATTAAAATACCGAATATCGGGAGGTACCGTTATATGGAGGATATACAAAAACCTGGACATATATATACATACAATGTTCCGCCACCTGAGCTGGAACCCATTAGAACCAACAAATGCCAATTTTTAGACAAATCTGGAAAAAAAAAACTGTAAAGAAAGTCCTAAAGTCGGGCTGGTCCGCCTTTGTAATACCCTACACCACATTGCTAATTTAGTAGAGCTCCACATAACAATTAAAAGATTTTTTGGGAGAATTTAATCATACTCGCTATGATTATAATTATTATTTAAAGTTCAAAGGCGTAAATATGCCGAAGCATTTGTATCTTTTAAATTCGGACTTGTATTGCCCATTTGGTGCATTTGAAATCAGATAAAGATATATATGGGAGCTATATCCAAATCTGAACCGATCTCAATAAAATTTGGCAAAGATATTTCTGAGCCGTATTTGATATATTTCCCTGAATATCGTTGTTACGGAGTGCATATTACGGCGGTGGGTAACAAGTACAACAAATCCGATGAACAATATATATGGGAGCTATAGCTATATCTAAACCGATCTTCACCAAATTTGGCATGTTAGCTTCTAGACACAATTCGGTCGCATGTGCCAAATTCCATCCCATTTGGGTAAATATTAGACGTTTGGCGCACAATCAAAGTAAATCGGACGAAGTTATATATGGGAGCTATATCCAAATCTGAACCGATCTCGATAAAATTTAGCAAAGGTATTTCTGAGCTACATTTGATATATTTCCCCAAATATTGTTGCTACAGAGTGCATATTACGGCTGCGGAGGACAAAAATAACAAATCGGATAAACAATATATATGGGAGCTACAGCTATATCTAAACCGATTTCGATCAATTTTGACATACATATTTGCAGGCCTAATTTGGTAGTATGTGCAAAATTCCATACAATTCGGGCTGATATTACACGTTTGGTGCATAATAAAAGGCAAATCGGACGAAGATATATATGGGAGCTATATCTAAATGTTGACCGATTTTCTCCAATTTCAATAGGGTTCGTCCTTGGGCCAAACAAATGTTGTTGGGAAAATTTCATCTCAATCGGATAATAAATGCGACCTGCATTTTGTTCACAAGGATACATGGATGGACGGACAGACGGACTGACATGCATAAATCAACTCAGAAAGTGATTCTATGCAGATCCTCAAAAGTAAATATGAGTCTATCTCGCTTCCTTCTCCATGTTACAAACAAATGCACAAAGACATAATACCCTTACCACTATGTGGTGTAGGGTATAAAAAAATTGACTAAAACCATTAAAGCACTGAATATCAATAGGTACCGTTATATGGCGGCTATACAAAAACGAGGACCGATATATCTTAGTTTCAACACCAACCGTCCTAGGCACAATACAAATTTTTGTGCTGAATTTTGAAGCTCTACGTCTACATAGATCAGCCTTGTCTATTCTCCTCCGAAATACGATTCAGACATTTGATAATCGATTGTCATAATCGTGCGTCCGACCGCCGGTTCCGCAAACAGTTTCCCATTTCTTTTCAAACTTTTCGCTACATAATATTTTTTCGAAAATTGGTATATATTTTCATATTTCCAAAAAGAACCACATTTGACGAAATCTGTTTTAGGACTACGGAACGTCTCTCGAAACGCACTGTTATTCTTGATGGTAGTATCCGATTAGGTCTAAACTGGATTTATATCCTCCGCCATATGGCTACAGAGAATGTATATCATTTGATACGGCCAAAACGTATCTGATCGAAATAACTATTTTTGAACCTGGGTCTCTTTGGAACAAATCCGTTTCAGGACATTTGGAGACGATCTAAGGGTGTCCGTCCGTCAGTCTGTCTGTCTGGTTAGTTGTTACGCACGATAACTCTCGAAGGAAGTATCCGATTTGGTCCAAACTTGTTACATCATAATATTATTATCAAACTTAGATCGAGTCCGGAGGTAGACAATATCGACCAACTCCTTCTGATACCTCCCCCAAAAAAGGTCGAAATTTTCCGAGAACCTATATTTTGCATCACAAAAAGAGAAAAGATCATCCGATTTTGCTTCAACTTTGCAAGTCCTAATATTTTAATTAGTTTTAGATCAGATGCGAAAATGGACAATATTGACCCACTCCATCATGTACCTCCCCCATGAAGTGTAGAAATGTTGAATAATTACAACTCTTATAAAATGTGAAATTAGTGTCCGATTGTCTTCAAATTACACACATTCCTATATATTTTTATCAGCACAAGGTCTAGTGTGACGATGAAATATGTCGTTCCACTCCTTCTGGTGCCTCCCCCACAACCTGTCAAAATTTTAAGCAACCATGAAGCTCATAAAGCGCAAAATGAGCATCAGATTCCTTTCAAACTCGCCATATTCTAATGTTTCTATCAATACAAGATCTGTTGTGAAGATGAAAAATATCGCCCCACTCCTTCCGGTACCTCTCCCACAATTGGTCAAAATTTTGATAAACCCTAACTCTGATAAAATGCGAAATCTCTTCAAATTTCACACATCTCAATATTGCTACTAACACAAGATCTAATGTGAAAATGAAAAATGTTACCCCATTCCTTCTGGTAACTGTCCCACAACGGGTCAAATTATTAAAAAAAATTATAATTCTCTTAAAATGTGAAATGAGCATCCGATTCCTTTCACACATTTCAATAATTCCATTAATACAAGATCTGGTGTGAAGATGCGCAATAAGTATCCGATCCATTCTAAACTTGGCAAATTCAAATATTTCTACTAACACAAGATTTGCATTGTCTATGTCTACCCCCACACAAGCCATAATATAAGAGAATATTTAATACATCACACATACATACGTGCATATATGAATGATGATTTTAGAAATTGCGACAATTTTACACTCAATTATAGATGTTAACAACACCAGGCCAAGCATGAATGATTTTGGCATACGCTTCTAGTTTAAATGCAAATAAAACAAGAATTAATTATCAAATAATTGTAAAACGTATTAATTAAAATGTTTTGCATGTAGAGATAATTAAGCAATTATAAGGGTTTTTCAATATGTGGGGTAGGCTGGCAAGGGAGGTAAAAGAAAAATAATAAAACAAATAAATAAAATATAAGAAAGTTTGTATTAGACCTTGAAAAAAAATATACATTTTTTTATACCCTCCACCATACTATAGAGGGTATATTCATATTGTCATTCCGTTTGTAACTCATCGAAATAATGATCTTAGACCCAACAAAGTATATATATTCATGTTTATTTTGCCAGTAGGCAGGTTAAGTTCGTAAATGGTGCATGTAGGTTCACGTTTTTATATAGCCCCCATATAACGGTACCTTCCGATATTCGGTATTTTGATGATTTTTGCGACATTATTCACCGGAATTGTTTTAAATTTGGCATTTGAAGTTCGAAATGGATACTACAGCCTGAGACAGAAAATTGTCTGTGCAAGTCCACGTCTTCGTATAGCCCCCATATAACGGTACCTTCCGATATTCGGTATTTTGATGACCTTAGCATCATTATTCATCGTAGTAGTTTCAAATTACGTATTTAGAGTTCGTAATAGGAACTACAGTCTGTGACAGAAATTTGCCTATGTAGGTCCAGGTCTTCGTATAGGCCCCATATATCAGCACCTCCTTATATTCGGTTTGACGATTTTAGGTACAATACTCACCGAAATTGTTTGAGATGTCGTATTTGAAGTTCGTAATGGAAGCTACAGCCTGTGACAGAAAATTGTCTATGCAGGTCCAGGTCTTCGTATAGCTCCGATATAACGGTACCTCCCTATGTACGGTATTTTGATGATTTTAGCTACATTGTTCACCGTTTATTTCAAGTTTCGAATTAGAATAATGGCTTATGACAAACAATGCCTATGTAGGTCCACGTCGTATAGACACCAATATTACGGCAATATTCGGTATTATTAAAATTTTAACAGAATTTTTTAAGGATTTTATTTTTTGAAAATTTCCAAATTCGTTCCAAATGGTGGAGGGTATTCCAAGTTCGGCCTGGCCGAACTTACTGCTTTTTAACTTGTTGAGTAGTTGGAGAGCTTGAGGGTTAAAATCCAGACCGAAATATTCTCTGAACCCCCATTTTAGAAAGTTCCCATTTTTGGGTCGTTTGAGGATTTACGTTTTGACCAAAGTGTTATCGAAAGCCCAGAACTTTTTGACCAGAATCCTGACCGAAATATTCTTTAAAGTCCCAAGGATTACCAAAAACTTCAGTCATATTCTCTAATATAGGGACTTTGTGGCATTTCTTATTAATCATTTAGTAGCATACTTTTATGCGCCCACAAAAATCCGATACAGTACCATATAAAACATTTATGCCATATTTATGCTATAAACATATTAATTTACGCCATACTATACGCGTTTCTTTGTAGTTCTTAACAAGTAAAAAAATATTAAGTTCGGCCGGGCCAAACTTTTAATACCCTCCACCTTAGGGTAAAGGAAACATTAGAAGAAATGTGGCAAAAACCATTAAAATGCCGAATATCGGGAGGTACCGTTATATGGGGGCTCTACCAAATCGTGGACCTACACATGCAAGGTTCCGCCAACGGAGCTAGAACCCATTATGACCTTCAAATACCAATTTTCAGACAAATACGTGAAAAAAATGTGGCAAAAATCATCAAATTACCGAATATCGGGAGGTACCGTTATATGGGGGTTATACCAAAACGTGGACCTATAATTACAATGACTCGCCACACGAACTGGGACCCATTATGATCTACAACTACCAAATTTTCAGTGAAATTCGTGAAAAAATCAGTCAAAAATCATCAAAATACCGAATATTGGGAAGTACCGTTATATGGGGACTATACCAAAACGTGGACCTATACATACAATGTTTCGCCACACGTACAGGGACCCGTTATGACCTACAAATACCAATTTTCAGACAAATCCGTTAAATAATGTGGCATAAATCATCAAAATACCGAATATCGGGAGGTACCGTTATATGGGGACTATACCAGAACGTGGACCGATATATATCATTTTCAATACCAACCATCCTAGACACAATACCAATTGCTCTGCTAAATTTTGGCGCTCTACGTCAAATAATGTGGGCTGTATCGTGATTTCAACAGACAGACAGACGGACATCGTTAAATCGACTTAGAATTTTATGCTGATTATGAATATATATACTTTATGGGGTCTACGACGAATATTTAAGAATGTTACAAACGGAATGACAAAGTTAATATACCCTCCTTTCCAAGGTGGAGGGTATAAAAATTGTGTGTGGCGCCTAAAAGTATGCTATACATATTTTAGAGATAAATGTGGAGAAGGTCACTTTACATGTGAATCTAACAGTATATTCCAAACTTTTTTTTTTTTGGGTTGCTCTTATTTTTTCTCACTTTTCTCTCTCCTTCTTCCAGATGGACAAATTGTAAAAATCAATGATTCCGGTGGTGGTTCTGGTGACGGTTATATGCCAATAGCACTTAATATAGAAAATCCCGAAGTAAACACAGCCACACCTTCTACACCAACACCAACAGCAACATCATCATCTGCAACAACAACAACAACCGTAAACATTCCAAATGATCTAAGCAGTAATGCAACCGTACAAGAACATCCCTCTTCAGATTCATCTTCTCACACAGACAGTGGCGGCGGTGGTGTGGATCATCAACCCAACATCAGCTCATCGCAGGCATCATCGACTGAAAATACAGCCAGCCAAGTGAATCTCACCACTGAAGAAAATCCAATGCCTGTGTTCTCCGAATGGGCCCAAAAACAAATGGAAGAGGCCGAAAAGCAAGCCATGGAACAGGAGCACACCTTCAACAATTCCGCTCAACGCAAGAACAACACCAATGGCAATGGAAAACCGGCCTCTTTGAAAATTCGTGCAAAAAATTATGCCTCACCCGATTGTGGGGCGAAAATTATTGCCTCCAGTGGTGACACCTCAAATGCGGGGGCCGTTCTCAGTTCATCGAAGGATGAGTACATGTTGAGTCTGTGTGGCAAACGTATATGGTTTGTGGTGGAGCTGTGCGAGGCCATACAGGCACAGAAAATCGACTTTGCCAATTTTGAGTTGTACTCATCGTCACCCCAAAATTTCACCGTGGCCGTGTCGAAAAGATTCCCCACCCGCGAATGGTCAAATGTGGGACGTTTTGTGGCGGAGGACAAGCGGGCAGTGCAAAGTTTTGATTTACATCCCCATTTGTTTGGGAAATTCGTACGAGTCGACATACATTCGCACTATTCCAAAGAGCACTTTTGCACGCTTTCGTTATTTCGTGTTTTTGGTACTTCAGAGTTTGAGGCTTTCGAAACGGAAAATCACCCGAATGAAGATATAGACGATTTCGATGATGAAGATTTGCAGGAGCCGGCAAAAAGCCAGTCAGAACCCAATCTATTCAAATCAGCATCTGACGCAGTGCTGTCCATTGTCAAGAAGGCCACGGAGTTGGTGGGCAAGCCCTCAAACAATCAAAATCAAACATTTAAAGCCCCTCCCCAAACGGGGGTCTGTCATACCCCCATGTATGGTCTATTCAGCTGTGCTGAATGTCCCTCGTCACTGGTGGAACGAGTCAACAATGCCTTGTCCTGTGAATTTCGACAATTGAATTCATTGCTGAATGTGCCGCACATAAGACATGACCTGATATCCACAAGGATATGTGCCAAAATGTATGGCATTGAAACGGCGGCAGCCACAATTCAACACCAACAACAATCACAGCAGTTCAAGGATATCAAACAAAGTTTTTATGTAAATATTTTACCCAATGACTATGTGGGTGCCCTCTGTCAACTCTTAGCTATGCCCAAGGCCGCCACAAACAAACACCTCCATCATTCTCATCATCAGCATCATCTTGCCATCAACGAAACGGAAAAGACCAAAAAAGAAGAAACCAGCACAAATCAAACACTAGACAAGAAATTCGGCAAAGAAGACCTAGAACTTTTGGATAAACCCGAAACGAAACTGATACGACCTGCTGCAGAAACGCCAATTGTACGAAACGATAAGTCTGAAGAAAACATTCGTATGGAATCCCTGGAGACCTCGACGGAAGTGCCACTAGACGATAGTCCACAACAACAGTTACCTAGACCCTTAGAACCAACCGAAGATGTGGAAGTAACCACAGCATCGACACCTAACCATGTAGTAGAGCAACCTAGTATACCTGATAAAAATATATTTAATGTACCTGTCGAAGAGCTATATGTCCCAGCCCCAAGCGCACCATCACCGTCATCCTCAACCCCAACGCATTTAGAGACTGAAGTAAATGAAACGCCAAATGGCATGGAATCAGATGCACCGCCCAGTTCATCCGAAAGTTTGGAACACACCACCCCCCTACCGCCGTCGCCATCAGGCAGCCCCTCATTGCCGAAAATAGTAGAGAACATACCCACAGCCAACACACCAATGCCATCACAAACGCCATCAATTGCCGCACCACCACATGCAACACCACCCTCACAAACAGTCACTCAAAAAAGTGAGGAGGATTCAAATTCATGGGAAAATATTGATATTCTATTGACATCGACACCGGCCTCAACGACGGTGCCCGGTAGCAGTGGCGGTGGTGGTGGGGGTTTTAAGGATGGGGGTTCTGCCTCGAATCAACAACACAATGGAGGTGGTGCCGCCACCGGAAGGGATGCAAGGGACCTCAATCAGAAAATATCGAATGGTCCCCAATCGGAAAGTGTTTTCATTCGACTTTCCAATCGCATTAAGGTAGGTGGATATTTTCTATAGTGGCATTACATTGGTTAACAGGACAAAATGAGGATTTATTTTTAATAATTTTTAAATCGAGTTTTTATTGAACATTCAATTCAAACATTATTGAATTCAAAAATAGTAAATATTTCCATCCAAAAATTTTTTATGCCATATGATCTATCTTAATTCATAAAGCCCGATTAGTGTTGATTTTCACATGTTAAATTGAGTAAATTGATAGCATAATTTTAGGCGCTTCTAATAATTGTTTAAACTTGGTCCTACAGAGCTATAGAAAAGTTTAAAAAAAGAACATATAAATCAGAAAAATGCATGAAATCTTAACTTGAGTTGATAGTACGGCCCATACAATTTAATATTTGAAGATTATTTCATGCGAATGTTGATCTATACTGCGTCTCAAATGTACCATCCGCTTAGACCAATTTTGGCATTTCTTTTTAGGAAAATTTATGAGAAACGCCTAAAAGTATGCTATAATCCCACATGACTCAACATTGCAATGTGCCACAAAGTTCCATTTTTATACTCTCCACCTTGGAAAGGTATATTAAGGTATATTAACTTTGCCATTCCGTTTGTAACATCCCTAAATATTCTCGGTATTCATGACCATATTATTTGACGTAGACGGTACCTCTCGATTTTCGGTATTTTGATGATTTTTGCCACATTTTCCACCACCCGACTTTCATCCTTTCTTTGCAGATTTTGTATATCCTTGATGCACAATTTTTACAGTTTTCATGTTGAGCCAAGTTTTAAAAACATTTATAAAACTTTGAAGTTTTTCCACAGTTATCTCGGATGTTCCCACATTCTTTAGCAAGCAATGTAGTCGACCTTGACCGACATTATTAATTTCCCCCGTTCTTTTTAGAGTTTCCTTCACAGTACAATTTTGGTTACTTTTTTTTCTGAAGGCGTGTTCTAATAGCAAATTTGCGTGCCTAACTTAACTTTAATCCCCCCACACTTCCTTCCCCTGCACGTAAATCTAGTCAGAATCTCTTTAAACATTCTTGTTAGACCAACTTGGTATATCAAAACAAACTTGATTGTAGTTTATTAGTTTGATAGTTTGGTTTTTGGGGTAAAATTTCATGGTCTATGGTGGAGAGGGTGGAGAGTAAAAGCTTTTCTTTTGTTTTTGTTACATATCCTTTAAACAGTGGGACTTAATAAACATATAGTTATAATTATTAGGGGAAATTTGATCAAATCAAAAAAAAGAGAAATTTATTTATAAGAATTTTGGCAGAAGTCACAGACCTCCACAAATGTATATTTTTTAAAGAATTTTTGGGAGGACTCACTGACCTCAATAAACGTGGACTTTATAAGCATTTTGGCAGGACTAGAGCCTTTAAAAAGCGTGATTTTTTAAAGAATTATGGAAGACTCACTGACCTCAATAAACGTAGATTTTTTAAAGAATTTTGGCAGGGCTACAAGACCCTAAAAACATGGATTTTTTAAGAATGTTGGCAGGATTCACAGACCTAAAAAAACGTAGATTTTGTTTAAAGAATTTCGTCAGGACTCATTGAACTCAAAAAACGTTGATTTTTTAAAGAATTTTGGCAGGATTAACAGACCTCAAAAAACGTGGAGTTTTTAAAGATTTTTGGCAGGGCACACTGACCTAAATAAAGGTGGATTTCTTAAAGAATTTTTGGCAGGACTCACTGACCTTCATAAACGTGGATTTTTTAAAGAATTTTGGCAGGACTCACTGACCTTCATAAACGTGGATTTTTAAAGAATTTTGGCAGGACTCACTGACCTTCATAAACGTTGATTTTTTAAATAATTTTGGCAGGACTCACTGTCTTAAATAAAGGTGGATTTCTCAAAGAATTTTTGGCAGGACTCACTGACCTTCATAAACGTTGATTTTTTAAAGAATTTTGGCAGGACTCACTGAACTTCATATACGTGGATTTTTTAATGAATTTTGGCAGGACTCACTGACCTTCATAAACGTGGATTTTTTAATGAATTTTGGCAGGACTCACTGAACTAAAAAAAACGTGTTTTTTTTAAAGAATTTTGGCAGGACTCACTGACCTAAAAAAAGTTGATTTTTTAAAGAATTTTTGGCAGGACTCACCGAACTTCATAAACGTGGATTTTTTCAAGGCAGGATTTACAAACTTCAATAAACGTGGATTTTCTAAAGAATTTTTGCAGAAGTCCAGACTTCAATAAACGTGGATTTTCTAAAGAATTTTTGCAAAAGTCCAGACTTCAATAAACGTGGATTTTCTAAAGAATTTAATGAAAAATGATTTTTAAAATAACTTTGCCAGGACACTCAGGGCTCAAAAACTTGGATTTTCGGAAGAATTTAATGAAAAATGATTTTTAAAATAACTTTGCCAGGACACCCAGGCTCCAAAAACGTGGATATTCTGAAGAATTTAATGAAAAATGATTTTTAAAATAACTTTGCCAGGACACTCAGGCCTCAAAAACTTGGATTTTCGGAAGAATTTAATGAAAAATGATTTTTAAAATAACTTTGCCAGGACACTTAGGCCTCAAAAACGTGGATTTTTTAAAAAATTTAAATCTTTTTTTTTTTTTTTTTTTTTTTTTTTTTTTTGAATTGTGAGATCTCCTATTCTGGTTTCATCAATGATTGTCTAAATTCAAAATATTATGGCTGTCCCGAACATAAGGCTATCTTAGTGGCCCTTTGTGAAATAAGGTGTCCTACCCCAGCTATGTCGATTTTCTGTACTCTCCTTTAATATAGTTCGCTGTAATGACATTTTTCTACAAATGGCTCCCAACGTGACACTTTCCAAAAACCCATTTTTTATTATTTCAATTTCTAGTGTAAATTTACAGGTCATTTAGCTTCTTTTTTTTTATTGTTTTTTTTTTTTTTTTTTTTTTTTTTTTTTTTTTTTGAAAGATGGTGTCCGATGTAACATTTAGAGTTGAGATTTAGAAAATCAGACGTGGCGTCCAATTTGAATAATAAAAAATTGAGTGGCTTGCAAAAACCATCAATATTACTTGTTCTATAAAATATTCTGAAAAATAATTGGGAATTTTTCATAATATATGACTTTTGGGTTTTTAGCATTCTGTTAATGGCGCCCAACGCGGGATTGAGTTTATTAATTTAAAATTAAATATTTTAAATTTTTTTACTGGTTACTTTTGTTTGTTTATTATCATTGAAGCCCAATAAACTAATAAATGGCGCCAAACGTGACACCTAATCATATAATATAAAGTGGCGCCCAACATAATATTTATATATTTACTGACTCTGACTTCATATGAAGTGTGTTTTGTACAATTTTATGTAATGTTCTGTTAGAAGCAAATATTTGAAATTTTTTTGAAAATACTCCAGTTATATGAGATCCCTTAGGATTTCGAAATTCGGAAACGGCGCCCAACGAGAAGCCTAATAATTCAAGTTGTGAAGAAATTTAGTTAGATTACAAATTATTTCGAAGTGTGAAGAGGAAAATAGCAATTTTTCATATTATGCGACTTCTAAGTGCAATTTTTTCAACATTCTGTATGAATGGCTGTGACCCGAAAGATGGAATCCAACTTATTTGCTTAAATTTTAAATCTTGGAATTTTGCTAATTGTAACATCATGTCATTGAAGAATATTGCAGGAATCTATTAAGGATTCCTTTTTTTGCCTAAAATCATATTTCATATTTTTGCCTAAAATAAGTGGCGCCCAACGTGACATTATTTATCTGGATTAAGTAATACTCAGCATTGTTTGCAACCCTTGAGCTGGATCCTTGTTCTATGAACACATAATATGAAAAAAATATTTCCTTTATACAATTTCTCATTTTGTATATCATTTTTTTAACCCACTGTACTTTCTAATACCATTATTCTAGTGATTATTGTGCAAAATCCACCCCACATTATTATGTTAATTGCCTTCCCAACTCTACAACATGTTCGAAAGTGTGCACCATCAAATGATTAGCAGACAAACTTCACGTAATTTAGTAACCTTCCATTTGTGACCTCTGCACGGACACACGCACACACATTTACAAGAAAATTTCTAACTCCTAGACCAATAAATTCGCATGTCTGTTTCATATTTTTCTTTTATTCAACGCCCTTCAGACAGAAAGAAAATTAAATACAAACAAAATTTCAAGTCTTCCTTTAGCAACCAACAAACATGTTCGATGTAACACAACTCATCATTTCATTCGACTCATTTTGTTTTGGTATTTTTCTCTTTCAGGCACTCGAACGTAACATGTCTCTCTCCGGTCAATACCTTGAAGAACTATCGCGACGCTACAAGAAACAAGTCGAAGAACTGCAACAGACACTGACACAACAAACTCTGACCGTACGCACACTGGAGGAACAAAATCGTCGCCACCATGAATTGGAACAGTTGTACGCGCAACGTAATACCCAACTCAAAAATGAACTGGATGACCTAACACTGCAGGTTCATGCCTGCATTGTTGTCATCATCTTTGTGGGTGCCTTTGTATTCCTTGTCCTGATGGTAGGCATACTCTTCTATCGTTCGCTGAGACGTGACACCAAAGAGGTACTGGCTCTGTATGGTAAAAATAATGGCAAACGAAAATCAGAGGCATCGGCGACGGCAAGTATTCAAAAGAAATTAAATCGTCGCAAATCATTTGAGGACTATTCGGATCATCAGCAGCAGCAACAGCAGCGGCGCGAACAATATGTCCGCAGTGTCAGCAACAGTGATAAAATACGACGACCCAGTGAGGAAGCTATGCTTATTTTGAAGGAATGTAAATGTGATAATAAATCCATGGTGGTTGGGAAACCACCCCGCGATGTAGAAACCGAAAATTCTTCAACACGACAAAGGAAAATTTCCATTTGTTATGGCAGCAATAATAATATCAATTCGGGCAACACTGGTCTCCTGTGTCCACCATCATTGCAAGCAACACAAAAATCCTCTGCTGCTGCGGCAAGACGTAGAGGTGAGAAACATTCATGGCCCAATACAGCCCAGGCCCAACAGCAGGCATTGCAGCACTTGCAGGAACTAAATAACGAAGATATTGGAGGTGAGAATATAGATTTTTATTGCCAATAACTTTTTATAAAAGTCAACTCCTTGTTCAATTTTTTGATATTGGTTACAATTGGCGCCCAACGTGTCACCTTACTTCCTCAATTTTAAATGCAAATTTTATGTGAAACTTGACACATATATCTATCGTTTTGATATTTTAACATAAATGGGTTCAGGTTAAAATATGTGCATCAAAAGTGGCACCCAATCTGAATCTAAAATCGAAATTGTTTATAGATGAAACCAGGAAGATATATGTTGAAGTCTACAGAAACGTTTGCTACAAAAATTGTGGCATCACTTTAGGGTGGTCGAAAATTTTGGGTTTTGAAGCACACAGATTAGATGTATCATTGTGTTACTTGAACGTGGCGCCCAATGTAAAATTTTGCATTGTTTTGGCAATAGATGAAATGATAGTAAATAGATGATAAAATTTTTCATAAATGACGTCCATCGAGTCTCCTTATTTGTAGTGACTTTTTAGCGAAAACTGATCCACTTCTGACTTTATTGGTATTTTGTTTTATAAATGGCGCCCAACATGTCTTCTAAGCTCATAAATTAAAAATGAATTTTTTTTTTTGTAAAGTTTGAAACAAATATCATGTGTTGTTTCAAAACATAAACAGCACAAGTGGCGCTCAATTCTTTAGGGTGGTCGAAAATTTTAGGTTCTGAAGCACGCATATTACATATATCATTTGTCACTTCAAAATGGCGAGTCGCTTTATTCATAGTGACTTTTTTACGAAAACTGACATACTTCTGACATTTTGGTACTTTTTTATAAATTTCGCCCAAGATGTCCTCTAAGTTCATAAATTAAAAATTAAGTTATTATGTAAAATTTGAAACAATTATCTATCATGCAATGTTTAAAAATATAAACAGCAGAAGTGACGCCCAATATGTTATGAATAAGGCCCGGTCGATATACAGAATGAGATAAAAAAACTGCAACAAAGTCAAACGCCATAATTTTTAAATTTTTTTCATAAATAGCATCAACTTTTAGAATAAGTTTAAACTTGTTCGAATTGGTCACCTTTGGCACGAATTATGGAGTTCAAACGGCCAATGAAACCGTCACACGCTGCCAAAATGTTGCTCTGCGGTATTTTGGCCCATTCCGGCGAAGCTCTTGCTTGACGTGATCGACGTGTTGGTAGTTTTAATTGTCAACCTTGCTTTCCAAAATACTCCAGACACAATAGTCCAACGGATTTGTGCCATTGTACGCTGGAAATGAAGCGAGGAACCTCATTTTGCAACCATTCGTGGGTGGCGCGTGCTGAGTCCTGTTGGAATGTCCAAGGTCTACGGCCAAAATGTTTGCAAGCCCAAGGCTTTAATACACCTTCCAGAATAGAACAGCGATAATATTCGGAATTTATTCTGAATCGGAGAACGACCATCGGCTGTTATGGCGGCCCACACCATCACCATGGCCGGCGCTTGAGTTCTGGTGGCCAAGCGAAGGTGCTTATTTAAAGCTGACCTCTTTGGCAAGTAAATACAATCATTCTGTTTGTGTGCTGGACAACGAATGTTTTCCCATCGGAGAAGCCCAAATTCGGCAGTTTACCACTTTCGGCCAAGCGAAGCCACTCTTTAGCTCTTTTGAGTCTATTTTCTTTCTGTTGCGGTGTAAGTTCTTGCACTTTACCCCGAGCTCATTTTTCAATACATATTTGCCGAATAGAATATTGCGATATTTTCAGCTCACGAGCCATTTTTCGGTCACTGCCACGCTGGATTTGATCAAGTGGCTTATTTTCTTTTCGAACCATTTCTGCTTACCTGTTTTCTTCCGTCCACTTCCATGACGTCGGGCTACGCTACCAGTATCAAGGTAACGAGCGAGAAAAAAAATTATATAATTGGTACGAGACACAAAAAATTTATTCATATTTAAATGCTGGAGTGCTCTAACGATAGCCACTTGTGGTTTTCCAGCCGAATATAAAGTAATCACACTATCAGCTGTCGAAAAAAATGACAGCAGTCTTAAGTTGGTTGCAGTTTTTTCATCTCACCCTCTACCCTGACCCTTACAAAGGTCATTTTGACTTCGAAAACTTATATTGCAAGGTGCAATACTTTTGGAGGACCTTTAGGGTGGTCGGAAATTTCAATGTATTCAATTAGCATTCTGTGGCATTCTATTACTTCAAAAGTGACGCCCAATAAAATTTTGCATTGATGACTGTAAAATCACTATTTTTATACCCTACAACACTATGTGTTGGGGGTATTATAAGTTTGATTGGGCCAAAAATTATGTAACACCTCGAAATATTGGTTTCCCACATAGGAAAGTATATATGGATCTTCCTAGCTCGCCAAGCTGAGTCGATCTAGCTATGTATGTCCGTCCGTCCGTCTGTCCGTCTGTCCATGTTAATTTGTAATCACTCTACAGGTCGCAATTATGGCCCGGTCTTCACGAAATTTAGAATGTAGGTGGGGCTTGGACCCGAATAGAACCCTATTGCTTTTGGAGATGATCGCCAAATGTTTAGAGGTTGAAATGGACCAAATACTGAAAAATTGTCGGATTTTGCAGTAGCTATACAGGTCGCAATTATAGACCAATAGAAGCGGAATTTCGCATGTAGCTAGAGTTTAGGGCGGGGAAGAAGCCTACCAATTTGGGTGGCCATCGGATAATATTTAGCGGGTAAACTAGACCATATATTTTGTGTTGAAAAAAATTCAAAATTTTTCATAAAACCGTGAATATTTTAAATCCCGGCGAAATCACAAAGCGATCACAAGGTTACTTCTGACCTTTACATTGATGGTAACATATAACAAATCGGATATATAGCAAAATATGTGCGATATATATGTCTATCAAAGAAGATATGCTTGAAAGATCTCTTATATGTCGAGAACGGCTGATCTGATTTAGACAGTTCTCATTAATTCAGAATGACCTCTTGGCAGGAAAGAAAAAACGTCTAAAAAAATCGCATAAACATATCTCTCTAAAGATGAAAATATTGATTTTGTAACATTTTCTCATATTTTTTCAATTTTGTCATATTTTTGGCATATTTTGATTTTGAATTAAACATTTGGTAATATTTCTACAGCTAACAAAACTAAGTAGTTAGGATATCAGGATATCATATACTGATCGCATTTATTGCCCGATCCTTACGAAATGTTGCATGGGGATAATATGAGGGTCAGAATAGAAGCCTACTCTTTTTGGAGATGATCGCCATATATTTAGGGGTTGAAATGGACCAAAAAACTGCAAAATTGTAGGCGGTCGTAATTATCACCCGATCCTCACGCACATTTGAATGGGAGTTACCGCACATTGCAAAAGCCAAGCAGTTTTGGATGACCATCCAAAAATATTCAATGTGTGAAATAGTTTTCCAACTTTTGTAGACAAAATACGAAAATGTCCATTTCAGTGACTTCTTGGAGAATTCCCAAATACAGGAAAGACGCACTTCTGACTATTTCGTTAACGCTGATTTCGTCAAATGTCTGTATCTCATATAGATGCGTTTCAGTCAAAAACGAATAATAAATGTTAATCTTTTGCCACTTCTGAGAGATTATAGGTCTTTGGGAAATATTGGTTCCAGATCAAGGAAGACCATTTAAGTGCAACATCTACAAATAAATTGGAAATAAGAAAATTAGTTTAAGTTGCTATTATTCGAAAATTTGAGAGCGAAACCTGATGGTTTTCTTTAATTTTGTCACAATATCTTGTGGAATTCTGTCGAGTATTTCGCCTAGAGGTATGGTTTATTATAGTGTTGTAGGGTATTTAACGGTCGGCCCCGCTCGACTGTAGCCTTTGCTTACTTGTTATTACTTGCTGATGTTTCCAAATGCCATGGTCTACATTTAATTCTCCTTTTTTCATAAATGGCGCCCAACATGGAACCACTATGTTTTGGTAAATTTGATACATTTGGAAGGACCTTCCAACACTTTAACAATCTATTAGGTACCTTATATTACGCAAATTTATTCAGTATTTTTAGGGTAACTTGAAAGATTCGAAAGGCAAGCGATCTCGTTCATTTTGAATAAAAATTTGGCCCCAAAGGGCCTCCTTTGTTTAAACGGACTATTATTGGTTTAAAAATCAAATCCTGCCATACAATTGCCTTTAAAAGCCCAATTCGTGAGTTTTTTTTTTTTTTTAATTTTGAAATTGTTTTGTGAATGGCGCCCAACGTCAGTATTCTTAGGGTAACTTGAAAGATTCGAAAGGCAAGCGATCTCGTTCATTTTGAATAAAAATTTGGTCCCAAAGGGCCTCCTTTGTTTAAACGGACTATTATTGGTTTAAAAATCAAATCCTGCCATACAATTGCCCTTGAAAGCCCAATTCGTGATTTTTTTTTTTTTGGTTTTTGAACTTATTTTGTAAATGGCGCCCAACATGAGGCCACATGTTTTTCTCTGCAATAGATAAATTACAAAGTAATTAACATGATTTATTTCTTTTTTTTAATATTTTGCAGATTACCCTGAAAAATCTTCACCCAGGCCGAAAAAATCCCAGCTAATAAACGGTTCACATGCCGCTGCGGGTGTCGCCGCTAACAATATTAAATCGAAAAAGAAAAAAGACTATTTGAGACGACAGGAATCGTCTCCACCAGAAAATATTGGGCCACATCAACAGCTAAATCACACGGCACCTGCCGAGTTGCCAAGTGCCGGGGAGTATGACGAGAAACTGATGCTGGACGAAGATGATTTGGATAATTTTATACCCAACAATGATTTGGCCTACAATGAGTTCATGCCAGACGGGCCGCGTGGCTATCAGTGTCACAATGTGGCGGACAACCAACAACATATAAATGCCAACAATCCTGCCTCCTCATCCTCCTCCTGCTCCACGTCAGCAACGTCGAAAAAGTCCCAGCTAACACCGACCTCAAAATCCGAGGGCAATAACAAAAAAGCACGTCGACTATCTTCGCCAGTTTTCTTCAAATCGCCATTTACCAAATCATTCAAAGGTAAACTAAACTCCTCCTCCTCCTCATCCAAAACCAATAATGCACCACATGAATCAACATCATGGGAATGGTATCGTTTGCGTAAATCATCATCGGCTAATAGTGCTAATAATGCCAGCGTTAATAACCCGCATAATGCCTATTTACGTGTCTCACCCAATGCCAGTTTGGACTCATCGTCGTTGTCCGAAATTAACTTTCCCACTAATTCCACAGAAAACTCATTTCGCATTTTAGAAGAGGCTATACTATCGTCGGGTGAAAGTGCCATTACCACCACGGGATCATCGTCGACAAATGGCAATAATAAGAAACGTCTCTGTTGCAAGTCTACGGACGGCCCCTGCCCCCACAACTGTGGCAGTGGCTGTAGTAGTGGCATTAGCAGTAGCAGTAATAGTAATCGTAGTTCAAGTTCTTCAAATGCCTCATCATCCAATCAATCGAAATCGAAGAAAAATCGTAGTTTTAATAAAATATTTCGCAAAGTGTTTTGAGTTGTGGCCAAAACAAAACGCCTAATGACACGGATCCAGAAAAATCTATTGTGTAGATGTTGAGTGAGGAGAAAAAGTGATTCTTTTTTTTCCAACATAAAAATTGGTTAGTCCAGTTGTTTTGATATTTTTAATATATATTTTTTTAATTACATTTGTGTAAATATATTTGTTTTAGATTTTTGTTTGTTAGATTATTGTCATAGAGCAATCAACGACGCCATGTTATGAAAAATAAAAAATCGAAATTGAAACGAAATGAAATGAAATGAATTGCAAATTGTTAAGTCAGGCGATCCAATTTGGTATTTCATTTAATGGACAGTTCTTGAAATAAGTTCGTAATATTTTGGGATTTAAATGATCGCAAAAAGAGAAAAAAAGAGACAAACTCAAATTTGTTTTTGATTTTAAGTTTGTAGAATTAAAATATATTTTGAGGGAAATATTTTCATGATGTTAGATTCATTTGTAAAGTGATTCACAATTGATTTGTAGCATTTTCATAGCTTAATTTTAGCCGCCCTTAAATTTTTTATTTTAAATCTAAAAAGAAACCATTTATAATGCGGTATACAGGGTGAGATAAACAAAACTCCAACGAAGTCAAATGCCATATTATTTACATATTTTTAATTTTTATACCCTCCACCTTGGAAAGGAGGGTATATTAACTTTGTCATTCCGTTTGTAACATCCTTAAATATTCGTCGTAGACCCCATAAATTATATATATATATTCATAATCAGCATAAACTTCGATGTCCGTCTGTTGAAATCATGATACAGCCCACATTATTTGACGTAGAGTGCCAAAATTTAGCAGAGCAATTGGTATTGTGTCTAGGATGGTTGGTATTGAAAATGAGATATATCGGTCCACGTTCTGGTATAGTCCCCATATAACGGTACCTCCCGATATTCGGTATTTTGCTGATTTATGCCACATTTTTTCACGGATTTTGTCTGAAAATTGGTATTTGTAGGTCATAACGGGTCCCTATACGTGTGGCAAAACATTGCATGTATAGGACCACGTTTTGGTATAGCCCCCATATAATGGTACCTCCCGATATTCGGTATTTTAATTTTTTTTGACACATTTTTTCACGGATTTGTCTAAAAATTGGTACTTGTTGGTCATAATCGGTTCCAGCTCCGGTGGCGAAACATTGCATGTATGGGTCCATGATTTGGTATATGGGGGCTATAACGGTACCTCCCGATATTCGGTATTTTGATGGTTTTTGCCACATTTGTTCACTGATTTGTCTAAAAATTGGTATTTGTGAGTCATAATGGGTCCTAGTTCGTGTGGCGAAACATTGTATGTGTAGGTCCACGATTTGGTATAGTTCCCATATAACGGTACCTCCCGATATTCGGCATTTTAATGGTTTTTGCCACATTTCTTCTAATGTTTCCTTTACCCTAAGTTGCGGGGTATTAAAAGTTTGGACCGGCCGAACTTAATGTTTTTTTACTTGTTCTTTTTTTATTTTTTATTTATTTATTATTTTTTTATTAATTTTTTTTTTTTTTTTTTTTGAATAAAAGCAAAAATTGTCGGAAATATCGTCAAATTATGGCCTTCAAACGGCCAATGAAACCGTCACAAGCTGCCCGAATGTTGCTCAGCGGTATTTTAGCCCATTCCCGGCGAAGCGCTTGCTTGAGGTGATCGACACTTTGGTATTTTTTAGTGCCAACCTTGCTTTCCAAAATACTTCAGGCACAATAGTCCAATGGATTGGTATTCAGCGATTTTGGTGGCCATTATGTGCTGGAAATGAAGCGAGGAACCTCATTTTGTAACCATACTGCGGGGGCGCGTGCTGAGTGCGATGGTGCTGAGTCCTGTGGAATGTCCAAGGTCTGCATGCCCAAGGCCTTAATACACCCTCCAGAATATTTTCGCGATAATATTCGGCATTTATTCTGATGCCACGGTCGATTAATACAAGCGGAGAGCGACCATCGGCTGTTATGGCGGCCAACACCATCACCTGACGGCCGGCGCTTGAGCTCATTCTGGTGGCCAAAACGAAGGTGCACATTTTCAGCTGACCTCTTTGGCCAGTAAACACGATCATTTTGTTTGTTTACCAAATGCTGGACAACGAATGTTTTCTCATCGGAGAAAACTAAATTCGGTAGTTTACCACTTTCGGCCAAGCGAAGGAACTGTTTAGCTCTTTTGAGTCTATTTTCTTTATGTTGCGGTGTAAGTTCTTGAACTTTTTGGAATTTCAATGGCTTTATCCCAAGCTCATTTTTCAATATTTGCGGAATGGAAATTGCGATATGTTCAGCTCACAAGCCATTTTTGGCCACTGCGACGGGGGTGTTTCGATCAAGTCGCTTCTTTAATTACCGTCCTCCAAACCTGTTTTCCAACGCTGTTTTCTTCCGCCCATTTCCTTGACGTCGGGCTACTCTACAGTAACGAGCGGTGGTACGATACACAAAAGATTTATTCATATTTTTAATGCTGGAGTGCCTTAACACTAGCCACTTGTGGTTTTCCAGCCAAATCTAACGAAATCACACTCTCACGCTTGAGTTCCATCACGAATAACTTTTTTTTCTGGAAAATTCTCGCCAAAATGCTCTTGTTCACTTGTAAACAATATAATGAGCTGTCGTACGAGTGGCTTAGAAATGACAGCAGTCTGAAGATGGTTGCAGTTTTTTCATCTCACCCTGTAGAAGCCGAGACTCTCTCCCCAGACCCTCTGACTGTCCGCGACTGTTTATTCAGTTCGCAGATACCCAATATATCTACTGGGCTTTTAACCAACCGCAACCTGTGGACGCGTCCAACATAATCTGCACTCAAAATTAGCCAGTAAAAGTTTAGAATTTGAATTGTTAATCTTACACTTTATTATCCAGGACTTGAATAATTTATTTGGATGTTTTTAAGGGCCATGGGATACCAGTTTTGTTTTTATTGCCAACTTTGGCCCAATTAATATCCTCTATATTTTCTGTTGCTACACCAATACTATCCAATATTTCAGAACAAAGTTATGAAAAATATTGAAACGAAATTCATATTCATTTAAATAATAGATTCTGCGTCACCTCCTACATTCTAAATTGCATCAATTTTGGAAAAAATTTTATGTGTCGTGAAATAAGCACAAAATCTAACTATGGCCGCCGGTGTGTCTTTTGAAATCAAGATAGGGGCCATATCAATTTATGTAGGCTATATTGTTTTACAACTCAAAATCCAACTCAAATACATTTTCATAAATTGCATTATTATACCCTCCATAGTATGGAGGATATAATAAGATTGTCATTCCGTTTGTAACACATTGCATTTTAGACCCCACAAAGTATATATATTCTTGATCAGCATAACATTCTATGTCGATTTAGCGATGTCTGTCCGTCTGTGGAAATCACTTTAGCTTCCGAACAAAATGAAATAGATTAATAAAATTGTTCTCAAATGTATATTATGTCTGCAGGACTTTTGGTATTGAAAATGTGCCATGTGGATCCACCTTTTGGTATAGCCCCCATATAACGGTACCTACCAATATTCGGTATTTTGATGATTTTAGCGACAAAATTTCGGTGAATTTTTTCAAATTTGGTATTTGAAGTTCGTAATGAATATTACAGCCTAAGACAAAAAAAAATTGTCTGTGCAGGTCCACGTCTTCGTATAGCCCCCATATAACGGTACCTCCCGATATTCGGTATTTTGATTTCCCGATATTCGAAATGGTTTCAAATTTGGTATTTGAAGTTCGTAATAAATACCACAGCCCATTACAGAAAATTGTCTGTGCAGGTTCATATTTTGGTATAGCCCCCATAAAATAGTACCTCCCTTTATTGATGAGTTTAGCTACATTATTCACCGATTTTTTTTCAAGTTTCGCATTTGAATATTGTGATGGCTTATGCAGGTCCACGTCGTCGTTTAGACCTTAATATGACGGCTACATTTGGTATTTATAAGATCTTAATAGTTTTTTTTTTTTGAAAATTGCCAAATTAGTTCCAAATGATGGAGGGTATTCAAAGTTCGGCCCGCCCGAACTTACAGCTTTTTACTTATTTTTGTTTAGTTTTTTTTTTTTTAAGTTCATCCTTTAACTAATCCGTTTACAAATTAATCCACGTTTTATTTTTCTAAAGGTTTGAGAAGTCCTTAAACAATTTTCTAAAAAAAATCCTTTTTTTAAGGTACCTTGAAAAGTTTAAAAATATCGACGTATTATTTTTCTAAAGGTACCTTGAAAAAGTGTTTTCAAATTTTCTATAAAAATTTAAAACTATATTATTTTGCAACTCAAAATCCAACTCAAACACATATTCATAAATTGCATTATTTTTGTCCAGTTTTTTTTTAAGTACATCCTTAAATTAAACCTTTTAAAAATTATTTGGAAAACTCTTTTTCCAACCATCCACATCCACCATGTTAATAATCTTTTTGATTTATTAAGCATTATAATTTTGTTTTTTTTTTTTCAAATCACCTGTTAATAAAAAAAATGCCACACACACACAAAAACTCATAATTGTTTTGCTAATCTTTTGTTGAATTTTTGCCATTTGTATATACATGCATACATATTTCATTATTTAAAAAATATATATATCTATACATTTTTTTAAATTTAAATTTCTTTTTATTTTAGTTGAGGACTTGAACTAAAATCCTAAAACTTCAAATATATATATAAATAAGAAAATAATATATTTATTAATTACCAAAAACAAAAAAGAATGGAAAATGCAACAAACAACATGAAGCCTTTTTTTTAATAAATTTAGTTTTAATTTTTTAGAAAATAGAAAATCGTATAATGTATATGTAAAGAAATCGGACTGCATTTTTTTGTTTGTAATTTTTATTTTTAGCTTAAAGAACGATAATTATATTATTTTGTTTTTCTTTTTTTTTTTGTAAATTATTTATAATGATGATAATAAAGCATACAATTGATGAAAAAACTATATAGACAATGGTGGTTTTTATTTATTATTGAATTATTCTTAAAAAAAAGTTTTGAAATTCCATGGTAAATGATTCTAAATATGACTTGAAAATTATTAAAAAAAAAACAAGTTAAACAAGTCGGGGAAAACCATTGGAATTCCAAAAAGTGCAAGAACTTACAACGCAACGGAAAGAAAATAGACTCAAAAGAGCTAAAGAGTTAATTCACTTGACCGAAAGTGGTGAACTACCGAATTTGGTTTTCTCCGATGAGAAAACATTCGTTGTCCTGCTGTTTGTAAACAAACAAAATTATCGTGTTTACTTGCCAAAGTGGTCAGCTGAAAATGTGCACCTTCGGTTGGCCACCAGGACTCAAGCGGCGGCCATGGTGATGGTGTGGGCCGCCGTAAAAGCCGATGATCGTTCACCGCTCGTATTAATCGACCGTGGCATCATAATAAATGCCGAATATTATCGCTAAAGTATTCTGGAGGGTGTATTAAAGCCTTTGGCATGCAAATATTTTGGCCGCAGACCTTGGACATTCCAACAGGACTCAGCACCATCGCACTCAACACGCGCTACCCAATAACGGTTACAAAATGAGGTTCCTCGCTTCGTTTCTTGCGCACCAAAAGCTCCTGGATTCCAATCCGTTGGACTATTGTGTCTGGAGTATTTTGGAAAGCAAACAAGTGCTTCGCCGGGAATGGTACATTCGGGCAGCGTGTGACGGTTTCATTGGCCGTTGGAAGGCCATAATTCGTGCCAAAGGTGACCAATTCAAACAAATCTAAACTTATTCTAAAATTTAATGCTATTTCCGATATTTTTTGATTTCATTCAATAAAATTTAGAAAAAAAATGTAAAAATTATGGCGTTTGACTTTGTTGCAATTTTTTATCTAACCCTGTAATTATTCAAAAATTTAACCCGTTGAGGGTGGAGGTAACAGAAGGTTGCTTATTTCGAATTTAATGAGACACCTCTAGATCGACTCCAAATGTCCTGTTTAAAAAATCATTGAAAAAAATATCTTTTTGAAAGTAAAAAAAATCTTTAAAATTAAAGTTTTATTTTTCTGAAGGTTTAAAAAATTCTTTAAAATCCAAGTTTTATTTTTCTGTTGTTGCAAAAATCGTCATGCTTAATTTTATTTTTCTGATGGTTTAAAAGATTCTTTAAATTACACTTTTTATTTTTGTAAAGGTTTAAAAATTCTTAAAAAAATTCTTTAAAATGCAAATTTTATTTTTCTGATGGTTTAAAATATTCTTTATTTTTGTAAAGGTTTAAAAAATTCTATTAAAATCCCCGTTTTATTTTTTTAATGGTTTAAAAATCCTTAAAAAATTCACGTTTTATATTTCTGAAGGTTTAAAAAATACTTAAAAATTTATATAAAAAATCCTTAAAACTGCTTTAAAAAATCCACGTTTTATTTTTCTAAAGGTTTAAAAAATTGTTTTTAAAATCCCGTTTTATTTTTCTAAAGGTACTTTGCAAAATTGTTAAAAAAAACCTCAAAACTTTTCTATAAAATTTGTCTAAAGGTCTAAAATATCCCTTAAAAATTCTTTCACAAATCCACGTTTTATTTTTCTAAAAGTTAAAAAAATTCTATTAATAATCGACTTTTTTCTATAAGTTTAAAAATCCTTAAAAAAAGTCTTCAAAAATACGCGTTTTGATGTAGGAAAGTGCCCTGAAAAAGTCTTTAAAAATCACACTTCAGAAATATATGAAAGTTTTTGAAAAACCTTAAAAATTCAAGTGTTATTATTTTGATGGTGCTTTGAAAATTTAATAAAAAAATCCAAAAAAATTAAAAATTATTTAAAACAAAAATCTTAAAAAAATTCTAAAGGGGTCTTGAAAAAGTCTTCGCAAAAAATTTAAGTTTTATAGTTCTGAAGGTGCTTTGAAAGAGTCTTTTAAAAAATCCACGTTTAATAGTTCTAGATGATCCTCAAAATTACCTCAAACTCAACCTTAAAAAGTGCTAAAGGTAAGATTTGCATTAATGAATTCCTATTATTCAAAATAGATTTATATTTAAGCTTACAATATATATTAAAAATAGTTTACCTTCCCATCCCAACAAACAAACTCCCAGTTCCGATTTATGTAAGATTTTGAGCTTTGCTTTATTTGGACAAAAAATTCGTAATAATAAAAATTGTTTGTATTTCAAAACATTTTTCTTTTTTAGACACTTTTCCCACACAATTGTATTGCTTAAGGATATTTGGAAAATGTGGCAATTAATTTAAATTGTATAAGATACTAGGGGTTTAAGAAAAAAATTATCATTTTTTATATATATAAGCATCATATATTTTGCACCTTTTAATTGCTTAGCATTAAAATTGCATTCGCTTAATGTAAGTTCTTTTTTATTCAATTAAGACAAAATCTCAATACTATTATTGATATTATTTTCGTTATTATTAAAAATTTCCTTTAATACCATCAAGCTAACTACTTAGAATAATGTGTGTCTGTGTACGATTTGTTTGTTTTTCTATATATACAACATATTTAAATAATTCCCTGAAAATGGCAATATTAAATTAATACAAATTTCATATTTAATACATTTTTTTCGTTTCGCCGCTCAAGCAGTTGCTGCTGGCTTTTGTTTTAAAAACTTTTACCATAACCTCAATTTTGTTTAGAATGCGTTAAGAAAGTTTTTTTTTTTTTGTTAAATAAATGGCCCCAATTGGTGTAAAATTTTGATATAGTTTAAAGAAGGAGAGAGAGAGAGAGAGTACAAAGAAAGTTTTCTTAAAGCTACAGCTATAAGTGCGATAAATACAGTCCATTTTCCCAATCGAATTGTACAAAATAGCCATAGAAATCAAAATATGCCGTCATATGATAGGCCATGTTTGAAAAGACCACTATGTATTCAAATAAGGCAAATAATGTATAAACTGTAAAAGAATAAAAAAATAACAATTAATTTTCACATTTTATCCATTAAAGCCATGTGTAAGCTATATATTACCTCCTGGTTCACATTTTGCATTGTGCCTCAGAAAAAAGTAACCAGCCAATGAAAAAGCCAACAGATTTGTTAGAAAAAAGTACAATTTAAACCTTGTTGATTTCTCCTCTTTTTCCGTTAGAGCCAGCTTTCTGGCATTTTTGTTCAGAAAATAGGATATCAACATGTAGAGCTCACTGCTAGCAATGAACGTCACAAAAGCATTTCGATGCATTTCATAGCTATCCGAAGATGTCCACAATGACAGCGAAAGCAATGCAATGTTCTCAATTACATTTAGGCTAACAGCCATGTGAGCAAACAATCGACGATTTTTTCGTATTTGCTCTCTATAGTATTTCATATAAATATGGGCCACGGCCAGACGTACAGGTAAATGCAGTACAATGGCCAAACGCCAAATTGTCTTCTGTGGTTCATAATTGCCAATGGCCGCCGATATTGATGGCAGGTAATTTCTCACGTCGCAGTGTGTAAAGGTGGCACGTTCAAAATCGAATACCACAGACCAGAAGATACAGAAGAGAAATGCACCCAGAGCTAAACTCACAGCACTTATAGCTACTTTGGAGAAGGCAATGCGAAATAATATTTTCGGTCCATTCAATCGTTCATAGGTAGGTAACATTTTCCATAGATCAATTCGATTCAAATGTAATTAATGTTGCTCTGAGGTTTTTTTTTATTGAGAAAGGGTTGGTTGGGTGCCACTACACAGAAAAAGCTATTGTTGTTGGGTGTGATGTGGTTGATGTTTATATTCCGTGTGGCGATTAACTTGATTGAAGAAAAAAAAAACAAAACTTTTAATTAAAGTCATATTAATTTTCATTATATACTTACATGACATTGTTTCACTGCATACCAAAAAGTGTTCATTCAATTATAGATTAACATATTTTTTTATTTCGAGCCCCTTTTTTAATCAGTTTTTTTATCTTAAGACTTGTCGAGTTTCCATTATTTGTTTTTGTCTTGTTATTTGTTTTTTTTTTCTCATGCCATTGTTGTTGTCGTTTTTCCTGCCCCATAAACAGAGCGAGCTAGTGATTGACAGTGACAGTTGGTCTCATTGAAATCATAATAGTTATCGATTTCCATTTTTTTATATTTTCGATAGTCTCAAGTGATGATGCGATACATCAAATTGGTGCAGAAATAGGTTTTTTCTCTTCTTTAACGGTGAACGAAGGAAATGTGAAATTCGCTTAAGAAGTACTGGAACGCGACTATAAAGCTGTGACTTATGATGTTTCATTGCTTTAGCAGAGAGAACTTCCCTTCAATTTGACTGCAAGTTTTTCTTCTTTTTCAGGAAAAAAGGTTTTATAGAAAAATGGTAAAAATACAGATATATAGAGATAAGAGTATGTTTACATATAAAGGGGATTTGGATTAAAATTGTCATATTCATTACTAAATACATCATATGTAGTGTCAAATTTTCCATGTCTAGGAGTTGCCATGTCTAGGCTGTAAGAACTGACCACTAAAATGCTCTTTAATGTGTTCACTGCTTTACTCAGAAATGCGTATGGTCGATTTGTTGACAAATCAAACAATCGATAATCAGTAATCAATAACGTTCAACCGGTAGGATAACGTTAACATTTTGTATTTGCGGCAATAATTTCGTTGTGAAATCTAGTTTTAAAGCAAGTAAGTGGAAGTATTACATTTATTTAGTTTATGAAGCTATATAAGTAGATCATGATTCAATGCGGTATAGAACTACAATGCGATATTAGGGTCAAAAGAACTTTGTATTTCGAAAGGCAACTACGAGATGCAGGATGTGTTTTGCTTATGCCCGTTTCATCCATGCCAAAGTTGAACTATCATTGCTGTTATGCACATTTACTACATTGTTTACCGAAATGCATCTTTTATGGTAAATATCCACTGAATAGATGGTATATAAGACTTTCTCCTATATACGAACTTGGTTATGCATTAAAGATTCCTATACATAAAAAGTCTAAATTCCATGTATAATCTGTTCTTGACAACAGCGCATATTGTAAAGCTTAAGGCAACTCAAAATAAAACTATTTAAACCTCATGCATCATAAGAAAGAAATCGAGTTGTCTTAGCTTCTGTCATTGATGGTTTTTACAGAGTAAATATCTCGAACACCAGACAAAAAATTATTACATCGTACTTTAATAATAATTTAAATAATTAGGATGTAGGTATACATGAAATTAATGATATTTCGATTTTTTTTTTTTTTGAAAATGAATGTATTTATATAATTTAAAATCATGTATCAGGACACTACTCTTTTTGCATTATAGTTTTGATTTTGTTTACTTCAGCAAACGCTTTTGTAATTGTAACAAAAATTATAATTATAAACAAGTAAGCAACGGCTATATTCGTTCGTGACCGACCATGTGATACCCTCCCTTATGTCCAAATCTGTTTTTGTCCATTTCGTTTTTAAAATAATTCCATACAGCACTGCACAAATATTTCCCTTGGTGATGCACCCTACTCCAATGGAAAATTTCGCCAGGATCTGACGATAACTGCGACCTGTTTGTAACACCCATTTGAAACCCTAAATGCACCCTACTCCAATGGAAAATTTCGCCAGGATCTGACGATAACTGCGACCTATTGGTGACACCCCCAACACGTATGCTCCTGGAGAACCTGCAAGAATCTCTTAGTTTTTGGTTTTCTTAAAAAGTTGATCTTTTTTACCCGCTAAATATTGTCCGATGATAGGCTTCCTACCAGCCCTAAACTGGAGCCCCATGCAATACTAGGCACAATTTTTAACATTTTTATACCATCCACCATGCTACGGTGGATAAATCCCCAATCTTCGGTGTTTGGGTACTATAAGTTAGAATTAGCCATTTCCATAAAATATTTATATTGGCTTTTTGTAGGGAGTTGCATTAAAAATCTATTGAAAATATGAGATAAATATATACCCAGCATAATTGAATAGAATTAGTTTAGAATAAACAGCGGTATCTAAGCACATCTTAAGGCAAACCACATGCTGATCTTCATATTTCAACAGCATCTGATTTGCATACAAATCCGTTAATTTATTATAAGCATAATTTATAAGTTTTTTTATTTTTTAACGCCAACAGGCCTTCTCACCTTTCCCACTAGGATAAAATTTGCGTATGGACACAGGGTCCATTTAATGTCAAAAAGAAAATTTTATAGAGTCAATTTTTCAAAACGTTTTTAAAAATATTTCAACAAATCCTTCGTTACACAAATTTCCCAGTAGCTTCGCAGAAGATAAGATTAAGACTTGAAACAGACTACTTCCTAGGTGTACCACACCGTTGTAAAAATCGTGACTCCTTTCACCTAAAATTCTGATGAATTACTTCTATAATATTAAAAATGTTGCTTGGTATTATTATAAATTTACTTTGCCATTACCAAAGTTGTTTTCATTTTAAACGAAAAAAATTAACAAATTTACTATTACTCTAATATACATCATAGCCATACATTGGACCTTCCATGTAGGCTCTATGTTGATCCGGTGAGTTTCTTCGAATGCGACGTCCAATTGGTTCTAAATCGTTATAACACTTAGGAAATACTCTTTCCACAGCATCTATGGCTTCTTGGCGGGTAACATTGCGTACAGCTAAAACTGAGGCCAATGCTTTGGATTTGACACATTTCTGGATATGAAAAAAGAAATAGTCAAGTGGTTTTCATTTTGAACATCACAAATTACAACATTCTCACCTGATGACTTTGTTTGATGTTAAACAACGAAGCATCACCCTGCATCATGGCACTTAAAAAGGAACAATGAGCCAAATTTGCTGCCCTAATTTCGGTGCATGCCAAATGATCAATGTTGCGGAAATCCAAATCATTGTTACAATAATCGAACATGTGGATCATTTCATGTGTCAGAACACCCTGTACCATGCCTTCTTTGCGTGCCATATTTTGACAAACAACGATCTGATTAAGGACGGGATCATAGCCACCAGTTACACTGCTGTCACATACCTCACATGAAATGTGTCTTCTCAAGTCAATGGGACAACCAGAACTTCGCAGTGCTCCCATCATAAGCTTAACCAGAGGGCTATTCTTGACACACCAGTATACGTTGCGTTCACATTTGACTTTATCCATGTTTTCATGACCCTCCAGACCGAGCAGAATGCGTGACCATTTAGGTTTAAATTCTTCACCACGTCTCTCGGGGTACAAGTCATATCCCCATTCTTTATTTGTTTTGGTAGGGGCTTCTTCGCCGGTATTTTTGTTTTCTGCATTATCCTTTGCTGGCTCTTGGGGTTTGTTTGATGCCGCAGAGTTCGCTTCCAAATCCAATCCGGGGATGGCTTCGTTTGCCTTTGCTTCAACTTTTGTAAACCAACCCATGATTTATTTTGTTTTCATATGTCTTGTCGGGTTAAATAACATTCCGACTGGTGCTACCACAACTATTTCGATAACACATGTTATCGAATGATAGCGAATAAACGATAATTTAATGTAGCGTTGCATTTCCCAATTTTTTCCGTTAATTAACTACTGGTTTTAAACTTATGTTTTACAATAAAAGTTATGTTGAAAAAAAAAGACTGGTTCAATCAGGAATTAAACGCAATATGAATTGTGATTTCAAAAACTATATTTTCACATAATAATAACTACAAAGCGGTATCATCGCTCTTTCATTTGTTAAAGGTTTATATAATCTGCGTTTTGCAATTAGAACATCACTTGCGGAACATCCATTTAAAGTTGAGACGGAATTTTCTCCGGCAAGCTGTCCAAATTTATTTTTAGGCTTCAAAATCACGGGACGACATCCAGCAAACTTGAATCGTATATTTCCGGCCCGATTCAATTTCGGATTAATGGGTTTTAATTCGGGAAATAAGTCATTCAGCAATGGCTTGGGTTTCAATGCCTTATTGGGATCATCGCCATGACACATGGCTGCAGCCAAAGCATTCCATTCTAAGCGACGCACTCCCACCTTGGGATTGATCTTAAACGTGCTTTTTTTCTTCCTAACGAAACGATACTTTATGAATTTTTCATAAAACTGGGCATAGTAGGTGAGAAAGGGTTGCAATTTGTCCCCACCACAAACTTCCTGCAACCATTCGTAGAGGAAAATATCATCGTTGCCATTTAAGAATACCGCAGAAAGCTGTAAAAATTTACAATTATTTTTATGGTTAAATTATTTTAAGAAGAATATTATTACATTGAAGTCATTCCATAGAGATTCGGGCACTTCATCCACATTGAGTTCATATAGAAATGGTATAAATTCCCGAAATGCATATTCGCCCAAGGCAATGAGGCCTCTCACCGATCTGCTGATGTAGTTGTAGTCTGAGGGGAAACAAACTTTTTTAAATTAGACTCTAAACCTAATCAACATCATAGAAATCATTCACCTCTTTCCTTTTGTATTACCCGTCCTCTGAAGAACCTTTTTAATCGCCTTAGTATGTGAAATAAACACTCACTTTGGAAATATCCATTTAAGCCACCCAACATACCCAATGTTTCACATAGTTCGTCAACAAATTCCCACTCCACAGGTGTGGCAAAATACTGAGATGTCTGTAAACTCGAAATACTTTCATCACAAATGGATGAGATATCTATTTCTTCCTCATCATTGTCGGGTTCAAGTTTAAATATTTTTCCACAGTTATCATCTGCTCTACCACTACCAACCTGTATTACATTCATATCTTGTTGCATGGTCGAATGATGAACACCATTGGCTTCAAAGCCAAGATTATTTTCCATTTTTATGGGATCATGTTGGGCATTTAGATCATCTTTCGTTGAGTTATTTTGAATTTTAATTGATTCAAATGGTGCCAACAACTGGCACACCAGTATTTCCGACAAATGGTAATACTCCTCCCGACTATCAACATCTCGAGTCCGCGGATTTGATGATAGTGCCCTTAGCAAACGCCAACATCTAGAACTTATCTCGTTGGTCTGTTTAAAAGCAATAATCTGTACAATTTTGGCCAAAATTAGACGATAACAAGAACCAATTATTGGGCTAAAGGCAGCCTCAGTTAGGGTAGTGTCTAATTCATCGGGATTGCCATTTAATGTAGCTGAAAGAAAGAGAGAGAGAGCACAAATTAATTGCATAAATAATGAAATTGTGGGTCTGATGAAGCGATCACGTCTAACGTTTTTAGGACCAGGGATAACATGTTTTGAAATTAAATCTTTTATAGAGGAAGGAAATGTTTAAAAAACAAGTAACCTTGTGACGCTAAAATAAAGCTCAAAGTGGGTCAAAGAGTGCCTTGGCTTTATTTTATCAATTTACTTTTTTCCTTTCCATATTCCATCGATTTACAAATGTTGATTAAAATATAGTGTTTAAATAAGCAATAATGGATTAGGTACTTGCATGTACCATGGGTACTTGGACTTCTGGCTAAGAGCTAGCAATGAAAGTTGCTGAGATAATTAAAGAAAATTCAATATTTTAATAGTTCTTTTCCTAGAACTTTAGTTTCATTTGAGGAAATGCCTAAACTGCATCTGGTAAAGGTAGTCGATATTGATCTACCACCACATGCTTTTATGACTTTGTTCATTGTCGTCACAACAATACATACCATATATCAGACTTGGCACATATTTCTTTATTTGTTCCATGTATTTGTCATCCACTGGCCAATAACTCTTAAAATCTGGACCATGTGGTATGCTGTAAGAAACTTCTCGCTGATATTCATCACGTAATTCCAGTATTTTGTCGGAGTAGAAGAAATAACTGCCATCATAATCAATACGATCCCAATCACTATCCATGGCTCCCAGACATGGGGGTACATCGGAATCCTTGAGGACTTCATTTACCAAATCGTATGTGACAATTCCCCCAGAATGACGAGAATATGTTTTTATATTCTGGAAAATATAAAAAGTATGTCTTTGGTATTTAGGAAATCAAGCAAGCAAATTATAGAAAATTACATTAACCAATTCCCATAGTTTGTAGGATACGTCCTCTGCTACACGAGAACACACCTCCGTTGACAACTCGATATCACTTTGATCATGTTGTTCCCAAATAATTTTAATAGAACGAGGCTCCAAACCGACATAGCTTTTGTGATGATTCTGGTCGAGAACAAAATACAGAACAACGATTTTTATAACAATCAAACTGCTTGGATCCAACTTACTCTGGATGTAGTATTTATTTCATTACTATTTGTAGTACCGACACCACCACCACCACCCATTCCACCACTTCCGCCACCAACTTGTGCCAATGACGGACTCTCAAACATATTTACCCCTACACTGCCACTAACGCCACCACCACCGCCCAGAGATGATGTGGGAGTAGTTGGCATCAAATTCACTTGATTTGTAGTTGGTGTTCCTTGTTGGTGCTGCTGCTGTGTTATTAATGTCCCACCAGAACTATTGCCACTCGTTGATGCAGTTGCATTTTTATTTGAACTTCCACTTTGTGATTCGGCTTTTGTTGATTTGGCCCGAGATTTCGTTGACTTTTTTGTAGACTTGGTTTGTGCTGTCGTCTTTGTTGTGCTATCTTCACTCTGTTGTGTACTGGAAGTTTTCATAATTTAATTTGTTCAAAATGTTGTATAAAATAAGTAATAATAAAAACAAAAAAGGATTATTTGTTAAACAATTTGCAATTTGTTTTTGCGAAAGAAAAAATGAAAAGAATAAACAATTGCAAATCAGCTGTTACCAGATAGGGTTTTTGTTTTGCCAAACTCTTAGGAGAGTTGCCACATGTTGGTAACTTCTCCAAAGCGTCCAAAAAGTGATTGCATTTTTGTACAAATTTATATTAGGCATGTTTTCTGTGGTAAGTCTCTGTTTGTCAAAAAGAGTGAAAAGGGGAATGGAAATGAAAAAAATTGCTTATATTGGCAATTTCTTTTGGGTTTTTATTTCTATTCGAAAATATAATGCAAAAAGAGCAATGATGAAAAACGAGAATTGCTGGAAATGAATTGCTTTGTATAAATGCCTGAGGAAGGATAAAAGAGGTCGATCAGAATTGCCCCAACTAAACACGCCTTGTCTAAACCAGGACTTGCGGATTAAAAAAAAGGTATTTGATGCATCAGAACTTCTAAACATTGTTTTGATAAAATATGCCACTCGCTGTACACAAATATTTTAGGTTGAAAATGGCAAGTAAGATGGAAAAAGGCTTATCATATTCGCTTTAAAAAACAATTGACTACTACTAGACTATTTTGCCATGCCATGGCACATATGCTACGCCAAATTTTACCAAATATGCAAATGCAGGGTATCCCCATGGCAAAGCAATAGAACTTATGACGAAGTCGGCCTTGTCTTTTAAAACCAAATTATTTTCATATCTATAACATTTACGTATGACGTGTGACAGACTTTAATGTTATAAATAATTCCCTATTTTCTGCGTTCCATGACACGTAAAATCTGTAATACGTTCCATATCATAGGAATACCATGTTTATTTATTTCTTCTTGGATTTAAACATATAAAGATAGAGATTTTAGACCCTTCTTCTTAAGAAAATGATCTCGTCGATTTTAATTCTTGTGTAGTTCTCGAATGACGTTTTGTTTTAAGTGCGTCATTATTGATTAAATCCCCAGAAATACAAGCTTCACAATACCTGCCCGTTTTATTGTTTTTATGTTTGTCCTAGGCGATAGAAAATTTAATCACTCCATAATTAAGTCTTACATGAGTTATCACACCACTACTTTAGTTTTCTGTTTTAAATTATAATAGCTAATGCGCATACACGAAGGGTTTGTCCTTCAGATTTATTAATTTCATAGCAAATGCCAAGCGTGTGTAGTTTTTTACTGTTATCCTAATACCAAAGGCAAAGGCGTTGTGTCTCAATGCTTTCTACTAAAATCATATCCCAATCTGCACCGATTTCAATATAATTTGTCCAAATTTACTTTTACACAAAACCATGTTTGGTGCATCAAATATGTCAAATCGGCCGAGAATATATATGGGAGCTACATCCAAATCTTAACCCATTTCTAATTAATTTATCAAATTTATTTATTTTTGTTACAAATTTCGTTACTCATTCCAAATTTGGTTGTATCTGTAATCGATTAAAAGATATGTGCATATAAAATCTAAATTTTTGGGAGGTACCTCCGTTTCTAATGTTATATTTCCATTCCCAAGTTTCAGTACTTTCAGGCTATGTTATACTATACTTGGAAATTTTCAGGAAAATCTGTGCAGCGGTTTTTCTTTTATGCCCTCTAAATGGCGTGAAAAGAACAAAACATTTAGATGGAAATAAAATAAAAAATTGGATATAAAATAAAAAATTGAATTCGTATGATAGCATAAGATTACCTTGGTAATTGTACCATGGGATTTCTTTGAAAAATAATTAAAAGTTATATATTTTTTTGGACCGCATCTCTGTCTCTCTTTATCACAAATAATCGCTTCAACGATTTTGACTGGAAATATTGCCAGAAATATAAGGGATTTTCCAGCAGCTCATAGGGGAAATTTGTTAAATTTTCTGGCATCACTGTAATAATAAACGTAAATCGGTGAATAACAAAAATCTAGGAGATTGTGAAAATAAGTAAAATAACTGCATTGACGTGTGTTTTCGAATTAAATTAGAAAAAAAAACAATCTATGGCTACAAAATCTTCCGTATCTGCTCTACAAGAATATTGTGCTAAACATAAAATACCACCACCCACATATGATTTCATTGATGCCGAGGACGGTACTTCATTTATTTGTCGGGCACAGGTAATGAATATAGAAGCGGATGGTCATGGACGCTCCAAGCGTGATGCCAAACACACTGCTGCCTTGAATTTGATCAAACGTGTACGTATTGATAATCCCGATATTGAAAATATTCGTCCCGTGGAACATGTACAGATTCCTCCCATTGATATGATAGTGACATTGCGAGACTATTGCGTTCAGCGTCAGCATCCATTGCCGGTTTTTGAAATTGTCCAACAAGGTACGTACATAAACTTAAATAATGCAAGACCCCAACTTAAATGAAATATGGCAAGTAGGTGTGTACAGTACTTTCAGAAAGGGCTCGTCCCTGTGCGATTTATATATACATTGGGAACTTATACTTTCTGAGTTTCACTTTACCCATATTACCAAATATTTTAAATACCCATATCTTCTATGAGATTTCTTCCAAATGATGTTATACTTTATTTAAGTTGGCTTCTACCTGTGTCAATTTTATAGCATTTCTAAAATAGTCAATTGTAAATTTTAGGTGGCCCCCCAGATGCACCGGAATTCATTGCTATGTGCTCTGTTGCATCAATCCGACGGTATGGAGTATCTGATAAGAAAAAAGATGCCAAGCAGATTGCAGCTGCAAAAATATTTGAAATCATCTTCGATGTAAGTAGAATTCAATCGAGAAACAAGCACACAAAAGCATATAATTTTCGGAAGAACGACTCAAGAAAGTTACGGGAATCTTTGCTAGGTTCAGGATGTCTTGGTTTATGGATGTCAGTTGTGTGGAATGTCAGCCACTTCATTAGTTGGTTAGAAAATATTTTGTTTTTTTCCAAGTCAAGAGAGTTTCTTCACAACTTGATAATTGGCATTCGGATCTATGTCTGACTTACTGAAATCTCTGCATGGTAGAGTTGTCCCAAAAAAGGCCTCTAAGGCTCACTTGAGATGACAGCTGGAAACCCTGACTTTAGTAAGGGAGAGCTCCCCCCTCCCCAGACAGTTGGGGAAGGAGCTAATCGACGGTTCGACATTATCTTCGATTGGTAAATCAAGACTGAGAACCCCGGGGAACTTGCAAAGCTAGCTAGCAAAGCTCTCCAGTTATGAATTGTGTTGTGGTCAGCGTTTCCAGCGTTTTTAAAAGCAGATACAGTAGCCTTCTGCTGGACTTCTTGCGTTATATAAGTACTCAAGGTTCTCGAAATTGCGAAAAGTTGAATATGAATCACTAAAGTGAAATTGATGTAGAGAGAACTACTCTCCGTCAAGTTTGAAACATTGGATAATCAACTATTTGTGTGGACGTCGTACCTGAAATTTCTGAACAAGAAGTCCAAACCCCGTAGAGTGGAATGATATCCCCGGATATCCGCCCCTTCAAGATGGCATAGAGATCGTAACGATCATGGCGTGTGGCCCTGTTGTTGGTGGCATATGTATAAGGTTCCGTGCGAGTATTATGAAAATATCTGCCACTGATGGAGCCCCTAAATTAAAAAGCCTATAAGGCAGGTCTGATTGGAATTCATACTGATGCAATCACAGATCCCAGCACCGCCCATCCATTGCAACTGAAGAACGTCGGCTGTGTCGTTTTTGTGCAATTACATTCAGGATTGTCCAGTCGTCTCAATGCGTATTGGGCCTGAATTTATGAAGATGTGCGGAATGAATGTTCGGAAGGGGCCACTCTACATTTTGTGCAGATCCACAATGCATTGTGGTAGTGAAAAGTTTTCATCCTCGTGATTCATGATGGATTGTACCAATCTCCAAGGGTCGTTCTCTGGAAAGTAGTATATATTTCGAACTTTTTGCAAATTAGCATATGCGAATTATACACTAGAAACTCTCCAGGTTCGACTCAAGTTCTATTGGCAGATCTTTTTCACAGCAAAGTTTTTGTTTTTGTAGTGATGGATTTTTTGTCCACAACAACTACATTGCTTCCAATGCATACACTTGTTTTAGTGCTACTTTAGGAAGACGGGTTAATGGCACTGAACGTAGAGACGGCAACTTCTAGTTGGCTGCACACCGAGGTCCGCGGTTCAAATCCCACAGCCAGGCTCGGCTGAATTTTTGAGTTTTGCCTTATTAAGGCGAAGATCATATGTTTTATGATTTATGTGTTTGATTTCTCTTTCGAGACGAGCTTAATGATCTGAAATTTGCAGTGAAAAGGAAAGCCAGATAGACACTATCACACACTCACCACTATGCGACGCGTTTCGCCGTTGGTTAAGCGGCTCATCAGGCATATTTGGTGTGGATGATGGCTTACAAGGGCCGTTCTCTGGAAAGTAGTATATATTTCGAACTTATTGCAAATTAGCATATGCGAATTATACAATAGAAACTCTCCAGGTTCGACTCAAATTCTGTTGGCAGATCTTTTTCACAGCAAAGTTTTTTTTTCTCAATTAGCATCGAACATCGACAGAATATATGTTCAGTCACCTCCTTCAGCAGACTATAATAATCCATGTTGGAACTGTTGCATTCAATTATTGAGGAACCTATTGTGCAAAGCCCATTTGAAATTTTTTCATTAGCCTGAGAGTTCTACTGTATTTTTTTTTTTCGGCAGGCAGACAACTTTCCACTTTTTGTTATGTTTTTCAAATGTATTACTCCCAAAACTCTTTGCAGGGTACGCCAACAAATGAAAGTGAAATGCAAGTGTCCCCAATAGATACTAAAATTGACGACATTGAATCAGAACGCTATCAAAAATTTAAAACTTATCGTGAACTAACCGAAAGTGGTATTGATGATCCACCGGGTGTGCTGCTATGTGATCGACATAATTATTTTACTAAATTCCATGATTGTTTGAAGAAGGCAGCCAAAGAAGTTCTGAATAGTGATTTATATGGCGAAGACCGCGAAAATCAAGTGAAAGATCTATTACATGCTCTGAAAATTACACCACGCTCTAAAAAGGTACCCTCAGAAAAATCAGTGGAACCGCTTATTCAAATCGAATTGGATTGTGAATATGATGTGTTTTTTGCAAATTTTGCTGGTTTAGTGTATAAGGATATATTGGAATATTTTCAAGATATGTTGGATTAGATAAAAACAGATTTGCTAATTGTTGAAAATAAAATGACTATTCGTTTAAATGTTTTTTTTTTATTTATTTTTTCTTTAATTTCTGTATAATAATTTACACAAGCGTATATCAATTATTAATTGCTTTATTACAATATGTATATAAATATTAAATGTATGTTATTATAATTTTTTTAATTGGTTTATGCTCTCCAGTGACAATTGCTTTGAGTTTTTTTTATAAAAAAAAATAATAATTAAAAAAACAATTCAATAAACAAAAAAAATCACCTAATAGTCTTGTTGGAAAAATAAACTAAATTCTTATCGTTACATGGTAAGGAAAATCTCTCTTCTTACATAAAATGATATAATTTCAGACATAAAGCTCAATAAAAAAAGACAACGGGGCTTACAACAAATTGTATAGGCCGTTTTTTTTTTTTTTTTTTTTTGGGGGGGGGGGTTATTCTTATCAACTTTCTATAATATATGCATGATACTGCCTTCAATAATATATTTAATATATATTTTCATAATAGTATATAATAATATCTATAATGGTACAAGAAATCCATAAGAAAACATGATTTTCTTTGATATTATACTAACAAAAAAAAATAAAAAAAATCTAATATATATATAAAAAATATTTATACACAAATTCATTAATCATAAACACTCAACCTAGGGTAAAGTATAAAAGGAAACACCATTTTGTTTGTTTTGCAGGAAAAGGAGGAGACGGGAGGAGGGGGGGTCATCATGACTGACAAAACAATAATAATTTTATTATTATTATTATAACACGCACACATTTTCTTGTTGTTTATTTATTTATTGTTGTTCGACAACAGTAACCTCAATGGGTGGTATAAATTTCCAAATATGTTCCTGTTGCTCATGATAGCTTTGAGCGCCAACAGTAATATCGTTGAGAGTTATATGCAGATTGGGATCATTGGCAGGACAAGAACGAGAGAGCATTGAATTAGCAGGTGAATGTTTTTGTTGTTGCTGAGGTTTGGCGTGACATTGAATGCTGGTCTTGAAACGACCCGGTGTAAAAAACAGTACTGTACATTCATGATTGACTTTTTCGTCTTTTTTCAATATGGGTATGCGTACCCTATAAAAAAGAATATAGTATTATTATTATTTTTTGTTGTCTTTAAGTAATTATTACCTATTAGGTCCTGAAATAGCAACCCTTGTTTCCAAATTATAATTTTCGGTGCCATTTAAATAATCCTGATAGAATTTAATGGTGAGTATTAGATTTTTCAATGGTTGTAACGATTGATTGCACACGGTAATGCTTAGCAAAGAACTTTGGCCAGCTGTACACACCACCTCTGATTGGGGTTGTACTGGTTGATTTTTAAAAGAAATATCTATAAAAAGATGGGAAAATATTAAAGCATAAGTATTTTATATAGTGTTTTATTGAATTGCTGCTTGGAATATATACTTACTCCATTGTAAAGGTGAGACAGTGCATAAATCTATCATGGCTTGTGTCAAAACGATGCCCTTTAATGAAGCTATGCCTTGAATATCTGTCCCTGTTAGTGACCATTTAATTTTAACTCTTTCAGCAATGTGTTTGGAACACAAACGACTAACAGAGTCATTGAATGTACCCATTTCAGTACGAAAACATAATTCTAAAATAAAGCAAAAAATATATAACTTGAATGAAGATGATATTGGAAATGTATGTAATTTACCTTTTTCTAAGTTTTCCGCAATTTCGGCTTCTCTTGCTGCCCAAACCTCTTCGACGGAACATCGATCAACCGGAATTGGTACACGACAACTTTCATTGGCTTCCATGGAAATAGTTTTATTATTCGTATAATTGAGCGTCATTTCTTGAGCAGTTAAATTGGTTATGTCCAACACCAAATAGAATTGAGATGGCCTTTGTTGTTGGATAAAAGAACAAGAGTTTATAAGTTTTTGTCTTATTTCAATGTGGCCATAAATAATCATTACAAAGAACTCCTCCTTATATAAAAAAATTATTTTTCAAATCATCTTTTTAGGGAATACAGGGTGAGATAAAAAAAACTGCAACAAAGTCAAAGGCCATAATTTTTACATTTTTTTAATTTTCTTTGAATAAAAGCAAAAAATGGCAGAAATAGCATCAAATTTTAGAATAAGTTTAGATTTGTTTGAATTGGTCAGCTTTGGCACGAATTATGGCCTTCAAAGGGCCAATGAAGCCGTCACACGCTGCCCGAATATTGCTCTGCGGTATTTTGGCCCATTTCCGGCGAAGCGCTTGCTTGAGGTGATCGACACTTTGGTATTTTTAAAGTACTAAGTTTAGAAGCAATTTATAATAATAAAATCTCTAAGAAACTTTTCATATTTTAGAATTATTCTCAAGGTGAAGTTCCTAATTATATATCATTTAAGGCCAGCTATGATCATGATTACTTTTGAAGCATACATATGAAGCCTTTGAAATATATTTTGAAGCCGTTGAAATACATTTTTGGCATGCACCTAAATACTTGTATTTTCAAGGGATGTTTTTTGAAAACATCTCCAGTCCATATGAAGAATAATATAATATAGAATACAAAAATGTATCCTTTATCCCAAGGATCTTTTGGCGACCAATAAATATACATTGAGACACATTTCATTGTCAAACCCATGGATTTTATATGCAATTTTAATACATACACTTCTGCCGGCAATACATCCCAGCTGGTTATTTGAGCACTTTGTATACATTCCAACTTAAAGTAGACAGCACATTGACGACAATATCCCTCCTGCATTGCCTCGCCGCCAGAATATTTGATACGTATTTGAGCATCAATAGGTTGAGCTTGGTGCAGGGAATTCGTATCAGCAGTGGTTAAACTCAATGTAGCCAACGACGAGTGTTGAGCCGTTGATGTTGTTGAACGGAAGCTACTGTAGGCCATGTCATTGCGACGTGTTGTTGCCGCTGAGACCTGTTGTTGATATTGACTGGGCGATCCCACACGTGATGGTAAACTTGTATGACCGCTCGATAATGTTGAAGAATACTGCAAAGAATGACTATGATCATAAGGATGTTGGGTGAGTGTACTGTTGGAATGTATAGATGCTGGTGCTTGATTGACAATGGGACATATAAAGTCAGCCTCAGCAAATATATTCAACTTGAAGTCAATGCTGCTTTGTGGAGCAATAGGCAATTTGGCCTAAAATGACAAAAAAAAAACGCAAATATTACAAAATCAATTGGTATTAAAGCAAAAGTTAACCACTCACTTGTAAATCATCTTCAATTTGAAAAACTTTCTTTTGTATATCCTGTTCTAAGTTTGAGTTTATGGTTATTTCTAAATGTTCAACGGGTATATCACTGTTATTTGTTATTGTTATCACACACATGGAAGATTCGCCATTGTATAGCGTTAGACTTGCTGTGGTTATCACAGTATCAGCCCCCGACATGTTGCTGAATGTAGCTGTTTGTGGCAAGGATGTTTTCACACCAATCATTGGCAATGCCGGTATTACATCGACCATGAAGTTTTGGGGAAATTTCCTTCCTTTCATGTGTTTCATGCGACAATTTGATTTAACACCCAATGTATGTGTACTATAACCCTGAATTTCCAATTGTCCCACTTCCATTGGTGTTCCGTGCAGCGTTATTAAAGTGGGCTTCTCGGGTTGCAGTATCACCGTTTGTGGTAGAGATTTAAAAACAATTCCATTGGTTAGCAAACGCATATCGCTGACAGTTAAATCAAATGGCAATGGATTTCGTAGGCGTACAGATACCTCACTAACATTGTTCTGGACCCAAAAGAATGCTGAAAAGAAACAGATTAATATGAATTAAAATACACCGTGCTATGTAAACTAGTTAACCGCAAAGCAACAGATTAATTGCTACTACGTCACAATGTCTTACCAATTTTATTTTTATCCTTGTTCTTATCTCTTCGATCCATTGAATTAAATTGCAGTGGTGTAAATAAGAATGGACCACTATCGGCTTTGGCAATTTTTATACGTTGTGGTCTCATATGAGCTGGCAAATCTTTAACCACAATATCCATACAGAATGGTAAATCGGTAAGGTTTGCAGGTGGTATAACTGTTCCATTTTCCAAGACCAATGGCACCGGGGAACCTTCACACTGGGCGCTTAGATTCTAGAGCAAAAAAGAAAAATTTTATGAAATTAAATGACTTTCCATTTATAACTATTTTTTTAACCTACCGATAATTGCACAGCCATTTCACTTTGTCCCGCCAGTGACATATTGTGCCACTGGGTCTGTAGCAGAAACGTCATATGACGTGTGGCCAATGTTGAGTGTCCCAAACATTTAGCTGCCGTTATCAGAGATTGCAAGACATCAATTTGTAACGAAGGCCATCCAGATTTATATTCTAAAACTTCTAAGGGATCCAGCGAAAGCATGTAACCAGGGAAACTTGATAACATTAGTCGATAAGTCTGTGACCAGTCAGTATTGGACGAGTTTTGATGGGCATGTTTCAGAGCAGCCAAACGTTGAAAAAATGCCGCCTTGCGACGATAACCAATTTGCAGGTAAAGCGATGTCATCATTTCAAAACTTTTAATGCGTTCAGCTTCAGTCATATTGTGGGTGACATAGAGGACATTCTGCAAAAACATGGCCACATCCAGTGGACGATTTTGTTCAATCATTATGCGGGAAGCTTTAAAAGCCGATTCTATCTCCACAATGGCGGCATGACTATATTTGCTGTACTTAATAATGGCGTTTTTGAAAAACGTTAGAATTTCATCTGGTTTTAGAATATTTCCCGGCAATTCGGAGTGGTGCCGAGGACTTGTGGCCGACAGTGTGGATATTGTGGAAGATGATGAGGATGTGGAATTTGTCGAGGCCTGCGATAATGTAGAGTTGGTTAGTATTGACGATACGGAAGAAGTGGAAGCAGAATGTGGTGTTGCCTGATGAGCAGGGGTGGTGGCCGGAACATCATTATGTTCCTCTTCTTGCTGATGATTAATAGATCGATCATTAGAATTATAACGTTTGGTTATTTCACTTTGCCTCCACTTATTGGGTGTGCATTTCAGCGGTGAACCTTCTTGCAATGATGCGTTCCTATGTAGAGTTTCATCAACCCGTAGTTGAGGGAAAAGTAAGCAAGCTGATGCCGAGCAAAGACCCTCTTCAGCAGCCCCTAACCACAGAATGTCATTAATGGAGCGTAGAGTTTCGCAGGCATTGTGATACAACGTTAAAGCTTCGTTTATTAATCCTGCCTGTAAAGACAAGTCCGCTAGATTCTTGACAATCCTACCACCCACTCGCTTCCGATTATTTCTAGATTCCATATCCAGGCCCACAAAATCTCGTTTCTCGAAAGGGGCCATTATTAATGTCCATTTTTCCATTTTTTCACGAGAACGCTCCAGTCGTCGTGATTCCAATACCCAAAACAGGGCATTAACAAAGTCGACCATGTGATGTTCCAAATCCGAACACATATCATTTTCACGATAGAAAAATGCTTGGGCTTTGAAATTGGACGGTGTGGTAAATTCATCTAATAGGCGTTTGGAACTGTTGTTAGTAGCCGGAGAATCCTGCATTGACTCTGTGGCTATGTTCTCCTTGATGGTATCTAAATGCGCAGATTCATTGGAATCAATGTGATTTGTAGCTGTTTGAGGAACATTTGTTGTTGTTGTTTCAGCAGGACCAAAGAATATGGCCCTAGAATCGTACAATGTACTGACATAACGAACTTTTAACGATTCATGTTGGCGACACATCTCATTCAGCTCCGCCTGATTTTCGAATTTACCAATTGTAATCAAGCCCAATAACCTGCGGTGTGTTTGGAAGTCTCCCCAGTCATTGTTTTCCACAGGATAGTCGTGTATGTAACGTACCCAAATATCACGTACCACACCACTAGAATCTGTGCAATATAAAATAAATATTTAATAAAAACAGTAGGCCAAAGGATATTACGCTTAGCATACCTTGTATTTTTACATTATTGACACGTTTCACTTTGTCAAAGACTTTCTGCAGGGATCTTGGTTTCGATACACCCACTCCTCGAAGCAACACCAACAATGTACTGTGATGCAAAATAGTTTGCTCATAATCAGGACGCGACATGTTGATGAATTGCAATTTGTGTTAATCCAATCTATTGATTATTTTTATTTGTCTTCTTTCAATTTACTGCTGTATTGGATTTTGTCAATTTCTTGATGAAACATGTCAATAATTATATAAATAATAATAAAAATTATTGTTCCCAAGCAGTATGTTCCTCCTCTTTGAAGACGTTTCAGAATAATAATACGTGTTAATCTCTCTAGAAAATTTTAAGGCCAGAGAACTTTTTCCCAGTTTATCGCACAGTAATTCTAATTGCAAAGGTTTCCATTCAAAGTTTCACAAACATATGCAATGTTAATTATGTTTTAGCAAGAATACTATTCCGAATTTTCAATAAATTAATGAACTTTAAATCCATTTTTCACAAAACCAGCTAATTTCACACTAGGAACAAGAAAATAAGACAAAAACGAATGAGAAACGAAGACCAAAGAGAATGGTTGATAAAAATGAGCAACACAATGAAATCCATCTGGCACCGAATGAGAAGGAGAGCAAAAATATGAGATTCGGCTGTGTTTACACACTTTATTTTAAGACTTACAGTAAGTTTACATATGAACGGTTTAACCCACTGGATTTGGATTAAGAATGTTCTAATGGCACCTGTTTCGCTCTCAATTCGTTGTTCGACCCTTGATTATAAATACCTACTTAATTCCCCACACAAAATGTTATGAGCGAACAACAATTTTTATTCTTTGTTCCGATCAAATCAAGAACTAAGAACCATGGTACAATGAAGAGAAGGTAGGTCAACTTTGAAAAAAATTGTAAGTATTGAGGTCTACCTGTTTGGCTTGTAATGTCAAAATTAGTATCAAAACAATAAAAAATCAAACAACTTGTTGCATTTATTTTGAATAAATAATTGAAAACCGCGATAACTGAATGAAATGTCAACACTTCTTTTCAAAATCATGTACTATATATCTCTAAAGGACTATTTCGCTACCAAAACTCTAGATTTTGTCGATGCATACGTTGAAATAAACATTTTGAAAACATCCGAATTTGAATATTTTCTAAACATTTTTTTTGTTATTGAAAAGAAAACACATACATAAACAAATAAAGATGACATCCCAACATACCAAATTGACTTGAGAATAATATTTTAATAAGCTTACAAACATAAGCCTTAAGCTTGAGAAAATCTTGAGAATGTATTGAGAAATGCTTGTTTAACAATTATAGAATAATCGAAACGGAACCCTTATTCATAAGCTTATTCTTGTAATTGTAGAATAAGCTTACGAAAGCAATATTATATCAAGCTTATTTTTTCAATGGTATAAAATAGTTATTTTTTCATTTTTTTTTTAATTATTTTACACATTTCATTCATTGATGACCATCCCAACTCTCACTGCCTCCTTTTGCCTTGGTCCTAGATGCTTTCTTTCCCCTTATTTGAGCTTCTGCATCTCCTCCACTAATTCTTCACTTCTCTTGAATTCTTGCAACTTTTGACGCCTCTATTCTGAAATGAGATTGAAATAATATATACTACAGATTCCCAGAATAATTATTCATCATTACCTTAGAGTTTCGTCCGGAAATGGTCCTAAATTCGCGTGATTTTGATTTTAACCAAAGAAAATATTTTTTGTCGAAAAATTTCTCAAAAAAAAAAAAATCAAAACAATTTTGTCAACAAAGGACAGATTTGAGAAAAGTTTGTGCAAAAAAGTGTTTCTCTAGCATTGTTGAAAAATTCTTACGATAAACTATTTTCATAATATTATTCTCAAGCTGTATTGTATTTTTGGTATGTTGGGATATTAAGCCAAGAAAATAAAAAAATTTAAATCATATGGTATCATAGCCCTACACATGGTACAATGATATCAAGGTAGGGCTATGATACCATATAATTTCAATTTTTTTATTTTCTTGGCTTAATATGTCATCTTTATTTGTTTATGTATGTGTTTTCTTTTCAATAACAAAAAAATTGTTCAGAAAACATTCAAATTCGGGTGTTTTTAAAATGTTTATTTCAACGTATGGATCGACAAAATCTAAAGTTTTTGTAGCGAAATAATCCTTTAGAGATATATAGTACATGATTTTGAAAAGAAGTGTTGACTTTTCATTCAGTTATCGGGTTTTTCAATTATTTGTTCAAAATAAATGCAACAAGCTGTTTATTTTTTTATTATTTTGATACTTATTCTGACATTACAAGCCAAACAGGTAGACCTCTATACTTGAAATTTTTTCAAAGTTGGCCTACCTTCTCTTCATTGTACCATGGCCCTACCTTGATATTATTGTACCATGCTAAGAACTACGATTAAAAATTTTTAGTTTCCGACAAATATCAGTAAAATTTAAACGCAAAAGGAAATATCGAAATTAAAGTTGACAGCATGAGCGAAACAACTCTTTAGCTCTTTTGAGTTTATTTTCTTTCTGTTGCGATGTAAGTTCTTGCAATTTTTGGAATTTCCTCGAGCTCACTTTTCAATATTTGCCGAATGGAATATTGCGATATGTTCAGCTCACGAGTCATTTTTCGGCCACTGCGATGCGGGTGGTGATCGATTAAGTCGCTTCTTTACTTTTCGAACCATTTTTGCTGATGTTGCTTTTTTTCCGTTCACTTCGTTGACGTCGGGCTATGCTACCAGTATCACGGTAACGGTCCAACGAACGATGATACGAGACACAAAAGATTTATTTACATTTAAATGCTGGAGCGCTCTAACGATAGTCACTTGTGGTTTTCCAGCCAAATATAAAGAAATCACACTATGAATTGAAATGAACAAAATGATTTTGTACGCTTTTAAACAATATAACGAGCTGTCACTGGAATAATTTTAACAGCTGTCGGACGAGTGATTTGGAAATTACAGCAGTCACATTTCATTCTTACTTTTTTTAATCAATGCTTCTGACTGCACAACAGCCTGATGTGCTTGCTGCACAACAGCAAATGTGCCTTAGTTAAATTTCCAGAAAAAACTAATATGTGAACGGTACAGTACCAATGAAAACATGCTATTAGCTTCTCAGCTGTATTTATTTTCCTTTTTTTCAATGTAATCGGTTTATCGATTTGTATAACCAATTTTACGGCTATCAAATATTCTGTTTTGACTCTTAATCTTTATCAGCCATTATATTTTTCTTTTAAATTCTTATTTTCGGCGTGGTAAGTGGGAGCTGATATGAACTTCGTATTCTAAATAAAAATTAATTTATCAATTATTTAGTAAATTAAGCTTCGAAAAATGAATTTGTTACCAAAAACTCACGAAGAATTCGCAACGGTTGACTACTGGAATACTTTCTTCAAAAAGCGTGGTGAAAAGGCTTTCGAATGGTAATATAATTCCAGGTGAAATGAGCGTTTCACTTATGAATGGTTTGTTTTTGATTTGTATAGGTATGGCGAGTATTTGGAATTGTGCGAACAGATTCACAAATATATCCGGCCCAATGACAAAATTCTTATGGTAGGCTGTGGTAATTCCAAATTGAGTATGGATATGTATGACTCTGGCTTTAAGTAAGTTTTATTTGTTTCATTCTTAATTGTAATAATTAGAAGATCTGATGCCTAGGAGATTTTTTTAAAACTGTTTGAAGAGCTGTCTATGAAAATCCTCTCTTCATTGGAAACTTTTAAAATATCTTCTTAACAGATGAATTTGATTTATATTTCTATGACCTTTAATATTTGAGACAACATTTTAACGTTAAATGTATTTGTTTTTCTAGAGACGTAACTAACATTGATATCTCCGCTGTGGCTATTAAGAAAATGCAAGAAATTAATGCCCGTAATCGTAGCGATATGAAATTCCTGCAAATGGATGCCACCAATATGAGTTTTGATAACGAACAATTCTCTGTGGCCCTGGACAAAGGTACATTGGACGCATTGTTTGTCGATGACAGCGAAAGTACACAGAAAACAGTGGAAGCATATTTCAAAGAAATCGGACGTGTATTGCGAAATGGTGGTCGCTACGTGTGCATTACTCTGCTGCAGGAACACATTTTAAAATACATTGTTGAATATTTCCCCAAAAATGCATTTATGCTGCGTATTGTTCATTGTCCCGATGCGGATAAGGCTAATCAGGAGAAAAATATCGATAATCCCGATGCAGTTTCGATGCCGGTGTTTACAATTGTCGCCACAAAATTCAAATCATTGCCAATGCCGGTATGTTTTGTTAGTTCTTTAAAGAAAAATTTTAATGAAAAATTTAAAATAAACAGATTCTGGAATTCAGCTATAGCAGTGATAAAATACAACGTTTCACGTCCGCCCTAGATTTACAAAACTCGGTAAAATCCTTGCAAACTGCTGCGGTAGTGTGCAATGGTCTTGGTCGTACTGATGTGGTGGGTCACAATGATGTTAGCATAGATTTGTGTAAACCGGGCGAGAACAGTCCCCGATATACGGTGCATATAGTGGATCAACCCCCTGCCAGAGGTTTGGGAAAATATGCTGCTTTTATTGTACCACAAGGAAGGTGGGTTCTATTTTCAAATTATATTGATAAAGAACATAATTCTATTAAAGCAATGTTGTATTTTCACAGAGAAGTCGAATGGTTGTTCGCCACCTCGAAGGGTCGCAAAAAACTTTTGGAACAATCCAAATTCCAACGAATGGCTGTTGTAACATTGCATCGTGATCAGAGCTATCAATCAATGGATGAAGTTAAGGCTGAATTGGGGGATAGTGTAAAGAGTTTTGCTCCCATTGGTTTGAAAGAACAGGTAATGCGGAATTTTTTGATAAATTGGGGATTTTGATTGTAAATGTAGTGATTTTTTTTCAATAGATCCCATTTCTGTCAATTGGTGCTGATATGGGTACTCGTACAACTCTGTTCAAAGGCAAATCAGATATATCAGGTGATTTCTTGGTCGAAGAAATCAAAGGTTCGGATGGCAAAACTTTTCGACGCCTGATTTTTATGAACAATCAAGCTGTTGTGCAGTCAGAGGCATTGATTAAAAAAGGTAAGAAAGAAATGTGATATATATATATACAGGGTGAGATGAAAAAAAACTGCAACCAACTTCAGTCTGCTGTAATTTCCAAGTCACTCGTCCGACAGCTGTTAAAATTATTAAAGTGACAGCTCGTACAAAAGCATTTCGGTGAGAATTTTCCAGAAAAAAAAAATTATTCGTGTTGGAATTCAAGCGTGATAGTGTGATTTCTCTACATTTGGCTGGAAAACCACAAGTGGCTATGATTAGAGCACTCCAGCATTTAAATGTCAATAAATCTTTTGTGTCTCGCACCATCGCTCGTTACTGTGACACTGGTAGCGTAGCCCGACGTCAACATCAGCAGAAATGGTTCGAAAAGTAAAGAAGCGACTTGATCAAAAACCGGCGTCGCAGTGGCAGAATAACGGCTCGTGAGCTAAACATATCGCAATATTTCATTCGGCAAATATTGAAAAATGAGCTCGGTGTAAAGCCATTGAAATTCCGAAAAGTGATAGAACTTGCATCGCAACAGAAAGAAAATAAACTCAAAAGAGCTAAACAGTTACTTCGCTTGGCGGAAAGTGGTGAACTGGCGAACTTGGTTTTCTCCAATGATAAAACATTCGTTGTCCAGTAGATTATAAATTATCGAGTTTACTTGCCAAAGAGGTCAGCTGAAAATGTGCACCTTGGATTGGCCACCAGAACGAACTCAAGCGCCGGCCATGGTGATGATGTGGGCCACCATAACAGCCGATGGTCGCTCTCCGCTCGTACTTATCGTGGCTTCAGTATAAATGCCGAATATTATTGCGAAAATATTTTGGAAGATGTATTAAAGCCTTGAGCACGCAAACATTTTGGCCGCAGACCTTGGACATTCCAACAGGACTCAGCACCATCGCACACAGCACGCGAAACCTAGAATGGTTAAAATCTTCGGATACCAATCCGTTGGACTATTGTGACTGGAGTGTTTTGGAAAGCAAAACTAAAAAATATCAAAGTGTCGATCACCTTAAGCAAGCGCTTCGTCGGGAATGGGCCAAAATAACGCAGAGCAACATTCGGGCAGCGTGTGACGGTTTCATTGGCCGCTTAAAGGCCATAATTCATGCCAAAGGTGACCAATTCGAACAAATCTAAACGTATCCTAAAATGTGATGCTATATCCCACATTGTTTGCTTTCATTCAATGAAATTTAAAAAAAAATGTAAAAATTATGGCCTTTTACTTTGTTGCAGTTTTTTATCTCACCCTGTATATTCTTTACCTCCAGAAAACTTATAAATTGTCCATATTTTACAATTTCAGTTAAAATTAAAGGCAAGGATCATGATAAGATTGACTTTGGCTATTTAGCTTGTCAACATCATGCCTACATGTCTTTGGGTGTGCAATTGGTCGCCGAGTCCCAGGAGCAAGTGAAAAAAGTATTGATTATTGGTTTGGGCGGTGGAGGTCTTTGTATGTTCCTGCATGAGGCCATGCCGTAAGTTAATTAATTTTTTTAATTTCTTCTGTTGGAACAGATTTTCTGTCTATGAAATTATTTTCTAATATTTTTTCCCATGCACAGAAATGTTCATATAACTGCTGTGGATATTGATCCCGCAATGGCGAATGTGGCTGAACAGTACTTTGGACTTCAGAAAGACGATCGAATGCGTGTAATAATTGAAGATGGCTTAGAGTACCTGAAGAATGTATCAGAGCAAGGTAACTTTTAACAAACAGAGCACCTTAACAAAACTTGTTCTCATTTTCGTGGTTTTGTTTCAGGTCAAACATTTGATGCTATTCTCTTTGATGTTGACAGCAAAGATCTGACACTGGGCATGAGTTGTCCACCACCAGCATTTATGTCCAATGAAGTCTTAACAAATCTCAAAACGATTTTAAGTGAAAATGGTCTATTCATACTGAATTTAGTTTGTCGCGATGAAAGCTTAAGAGATAAAACTATTGACGATTTGAAAACAGTCTTTCCCTCAATGTGTTCCTATCAATTGGATGAGGATGTCAATGAAATTGTTTACTGTGCAAACAATGGAAAATATAAAAATCTAGCCGTATGGAAAAAGTGCCTTGGAACGTCGGGACAAACGCTAAATCAGGCAGCAAAAAAGAAAAAACTATGCCGAGATGAAGTTTTAGATGTCACCGAATTTTTAAATGAATTGAAAATATAAAATAATTTTAAATTCTCAAAAATCAATATTATCAGGGTATGTTATTTGAAAATGTAGGAAATATCGGCAGTCTTCCAAATGATTCTTAGTTAGATAGACCTTAAAAAATTTTTTTTTAAAAAATCCACGTAATTAGATGTTGTGGTCCAATCATTCTTTTGCACGAAGAATACTTTTTATTTCTTTTAAATATATGTATATATGTAATAACTATAAATATTTATTTGCATATAGAGCTATACATTATGTATACTATGTGAGAGGTGTAGGTGCCACAGGGATATTATTTCATTTTAATTGTAGATGTTAATTGTTTACGTGGACCCGATTGCCGTTGACGTGACAGAAATGTTTGTCCTTGGCCCAATAGCATTGCCAGTTTGGCATCAATTATATCACGCTGTGTATTATTGGCTAATCTATAGAAAGCTGTCGCCACTAAATTCTCCTCAACTGAAGAAAATTGAAGCTTCTTATCGTCTGTGAAATCTTGGATATTATCAACCAAGTTCACCTCATTTAGTGCTCTTGGATCCATATTCTTGATAACATCCTTTGCCCTTTCGACACATTTGCGATATTTTGTCTCCAGACCCAACAACTCTTGATCCTTTGCCGCAAGGGCAGCTTCGAGTTGGGAAACTTTATTCTGAAGTCCAGCATTTTGATTGGCATATTCTTCAACCTGACTGGATTTTTGTTCGTTCAGTTCGAGAAGTTGTTTTACTTCCTCCGTCGAGGCATTGCCAGCTTTATTGGTACCCTCATCGCCGCCAGAAGAATGGGTAAGTGACATAATACGCTCGGTAGCTGCTTTTAGTTGTTCCCGCAAATTGTTATTTCTTTTGTTGGCATCATCTAGCAGTTGCATTAGTGCCGTCTGGCCTCCTTGGCCTTCGCGCAGTGCCTTGTTTTCGATTTCAAGTCTTCGTACACGTTCATTCAATACAGAAGGCTGCAATTCATTGGACATTGTTGTGGTAACATCACCGGAGTCGGTTGAAAGATGGCCGCATCTTAATTCGTCCAAGGCCTCCCTCAAGCTGTTTCTTTCCTTCAGCAGCCCTTCTTTGGCCTGTTGCAGTGAAAATATTGTTTCCTCCATAGCTTTGCTTTCAAACTCCAATTTCAGATTATTGCTTATTTCCTTTTCCAGTTTCGTGTGCAAATCCTGGACTTCTTTTTTATACAAATCGATTTGTCCCTTGAGAGCTGCACATTTTTTGGCATCTTCTTCGAACTGGGCATTTTGCTGTAAATATTCAGCACTACGTTCGTCCAACATTTTTAATTGCTTCTTTAAATCGGTATAGTCTTCAAGTTTTTTCTTGTATGTCTTCACTTGAGTTTCACAAACTTTTAACTTTTCATTTGTCTCCCTCAGAACATCAATTTCATCTTTCAGTTTTATAAACTCAGAATTGACTTTGTTCAACTCTTCTACACGTTGTTGTAGTAGTTGAATTTCCGACTCTTGTTCTTGAGATTTTATGCGTAGATCTTCGCGTGCCGTTTCCGACTGCAATAGCTCCTCCTTCATTTGATCCAATTGTTTACGCATATCATGATATCGGGTTGATCCAGTGTTCACTGGACCCAGCGAAACTCCATCATCTCCAATTACCGGAGCCGATTCCAATTTCTTAATATCATCTTGTAGCTTAGATACCTCTGATCGTAGATTGGTGTTCTCCTCAACCAAAATAGTCATCTTTTTGTCCAGTTCAAAACACTTTTGGGCCAATCTATCCCGATCTTCTTGCAGCATTTTGTTATCCAAATTTGCAATATTCAAGGAGTTCTTTGACATTGAAGTTCCCTGGCAGGAAGACTCAAGTTCTTGGAGGGCTTTCATGATATTGGCCTGTAATGACTCCTCCAAAAGCATTATCTCACGTATATAGTCCTGTTTCGAAGAGCAATTCACAGCACATCCCAATATGAGCTGCAACAGACGTTCCAATTCAACGGTGTCATATTTTTCTGCGATTCGCATAGCATCAGGTCTAGGAAATTCCACCAGAGAATAGTTTAAAACGTCGGCATAATAATCGTATAAAGCCTCTATGACTTTCTTTAGGTTGCTCATTTTCAAACGCCAATTTATGCCAACTTCAACTTTTATTTTGGAAAGCCATGTATCTGTGAATGACTCAGGAGCGAACTGATTTAAGGCCTGGGCCATTGCCACACCATCTGACAATTCCTCGGCTGTTTCATGTGGAGCTGGCAAGTTAAGGGTTTTAAACCATTCCATTAAACTTTGGCACATATCACCCATGTTATTGGTTTCAAAAAGACACTTGTGTTGTTGTTAATAATAATAAATAAAATAAAAAAATATTTAATGCAACAGAGCAACCGAGAAAATAAAGTCTCACGACGACACCTCAAACTGGCCCCGTTTCTGACACTATCTGCAAACAATGACGCCGTTAATAAGCAACACAACAATTAAAAGTAACGGCGCCAAAATGTGACTTCCGCCTCGGACTTTTCCTCAATATCGAGAAAATATTTCAGAGAAGAGAAATTGAGAAATTATTTGTGTTGTGTCGTGACGAAATAAATTGTTCGCGGAAAGAAGAAAATTCATATAAAATTTAGAAAAAGCTAAATAATTAAGGTGAAGAAAATAGAGAAACAATAAACCAATATTAAGTGAAGAAAGAAATCATAAAAGTGGGCACTTTTTGCTACGCAGTAACTGAAAAAAATTAGATTAATAAATTTTCTGGTTGTCTTTTGTTTTTTTTTTCTCTTTCTTTTTTCTATTAAATAGAATAACAAAGAGTTCGTGTAAAACTGAAAGAAGGATATTGTAAAAATTCTTTGGAGACAAGATGACCATTTTACCCAAACCCACAATTGATAAAAAGGGCAATTTTAAGTTGCCATTACCCCTAGGCCTTGGGTCTTTTGGTAAAGATCATATGGAAAAGTCCTTGTTGGGGGTAAGTAATATATATAAACAAATAGAATATATAGTGCACAATTATTATTTGCTTATTATTTTTTCCTAGACACTTGACACCACATTCATTTCGTAAGCATTCATATATCTTTTGTTGGTATATAGTAGTATCCTTGTATCATGTGTGCAGGAATTTCCCCATTTACTTCGTGCTTTTTCCAATCATGGCCATTTCGTACAATTCGTGTTCATGGTCTCGTTTTGTTAGTTTCTGTTTGAAAAATAATTTTTCATCCTTGCGATAGGTTCTGTCAAGGCAATTATTGATTTTTCTCCATCGTGTAATAATTATTGAAACAAAATGGAAAAAAAATCGTTATTTACATTGTGTTATTATTTAAGTTTGATATGTATGTACATAAGGATGTAAATGTTTTCACATACCATTATCTACATAAATATGTATATATAGGTATATGAAAATATACATACCATGTAGATATTTACTCAGTTGTTATTGGCATTGATTTGTTGTTATTGCGTCCAATGTATCATATCCAGCAACAAACATTTGTTTACTTTCGATGGGTACTGTCATCCGTAGCCATGACCCATCTTTTTACTTAATTTTGTTGCTGTTGTAGCTTCAATTGCGGATTAAAGGACCATCAATGAATATATGCAGTAGATCTGGTAACTGTATTTTTTAATTTATTTCGATCTTTTAATGATTGACAATTTTCGAAGAGAATTTTTTTAAGTTAAAAGCCAACAAAAAAGATTTGCAGCATTTATTCTCCCTGAAATTGAAATGGAAGGTTATACCTATTTAATAATGATAGTTATGCTTTATGGCGTGCATTTTCTTGTACCACCTCTACTGCTGTTATACAATGAGCTAGGGTAAAAGTCCTTGGCCGAGTAGGAATCTGGTCATAGCCCCTACTTTTGAAAAAGATTTGACAAAATGCACATTTGAGTGTGTGTGTGTTGTAAAAGAAACTATTCAACATGCATTTTTTCGGGCACTTGTGTACCAAAGGCTTAAAACAAAAAATAATAATATTCTTAATAAGGGCATTTACCCAGTTTAAATTACATATTTGACAAAACACTTAGTTACACATCATATGTTATGACGGTGGCTTGCATTTTTTAAGGTTTCTGTATTTTGTTGCATTTTTATTCGCACAAAAGTCAGAAGTACTAAATCGGTCATTTGCATTTTGTAAGAAAAAAAAGTAGTTGCTCAAAAAATTAAATGTGTAAACGTTTAATTTTTTATACCCTCCACCCATGCCCTCCAACAGAGAAAATAGGGTATATTAAATATGGCATTCCGATTGTAACCCCTCAAAATATTTGTCGTAGACCACATAATGTATATATATTCATGGCCAGAATAAAATTTTATGTCCATCTGTCTGACGTGAAATCAAGATACAGCCTAAATTATTTGACAAGGGGCTTTGAAACATGGCACAAAGTGTACATTGTGTCTGGGATAATTGGTGTTAAAGATGAAGTATATCGGTCCATATGCAATCGTACTTTGATTATTTAGTCAAATTTTTCTACGGAAGTGTTCCAAAGTTGGTACTTAGAATTTGTAAAGGATTCCAATATAGGATTGCTGTATTTTACTATACAGGGTAAGATAAAAAAACTGCAACAAAGTCAAAGTCAAACGCATAAAATTTCAGAATAAGTCTATATTTGTTTGAATTGGTCACTTTTGGCACGAATTATTTGCCTTCAAACAGCCGTCACACCCTGTCCGAATGTTGCTCTGCGGTATTTTGGCCCATTCCCGGCGAAGCACTTGCTTGAGGTGATCGACACTTTGATATTTTTTAGTGCCAAACTTGCTTTCAAAAATACTCCGGACACAATAGTCCAACGGATTGGTATCCCATTGTGCGCTGGAAATGAAACGAGGAACCTAATTTTGTAACCATTCTTGGGTGGCGCATGCAAAGTGCGATGGTGCTGAGTCCCGTTAGAATGTCCAAGGCCAAGGCTTTATTACACCCTCCCGAATATTTTTGCGATAATATTCGGCATTTATTCTGATGCCAAGGACGTTGATATAAGGGGAGAGCGACTATCGGCTGTTATGGCAGCCCACACCATCACCATGGCCGCGCTTGAGTTCTGGTGGCCAACTGAAGGTGCACATTTTCAGCTGACCTCTATGGCAAGTAAACACGATCATTTTTACATACTGCTGAACAACGAATGTTTCTCATTGGAGAAAATCAAATCCGGCAGTTCACCACTTTCAACCAAGCGAAGCAACTCTTTAGCTCTTTTGAGTCTATTTTCTTTCTGTTGCGGTGTAAGTTCTTGCACTTTTTGGAATTTCAATGGGTTTACCCCGAGCTCATTTTTTAATATTTGCCGAATGCAATATTGCGATATATTCAGCTCACGAGCCACTGCGACGGGGGATTCGATCAAGTGGCTTATTTTCTTTTCGAACCATTTCTGCTTACCTGTTTTCTTCCGTCCACTTCCTTGACGTCTGGCTACGCTACCAGCATCACGGTAACGAGCGATGGTACGAGACACATAAAATGTATTCACATTTAAATGCTGGAGTGCTCTAACGATAGCCACTTGTGGTTTTCCAGCCAAATATAAGGAAATCACACTATCACGCTTGAATTCCATCACGAATAACTTTTTTTCTGGAAAATTCTCATCAAAATGATTTTGTTCGCTTGTAAACAATATAATGAGCTCATCACTGGAATAATTTTAACAGCTGTCGGATGAGTGGCTTGGAAATGACTGCAGTCTGAAGTTGGTTGCAGTTTTTTCATCTCACCCCCTGTATATTTCAAATATAAAGACAAACCTGAGTCGATTTTCAATAGGTTTTGACGTGGACATTAAATCCATATTATGGCTTTTGAGTGGCATAAACATTAGCACGTCATATCTAGCTATAGCCGACCTGAATAAAATAGATGTTTGTGTATATTGAAATCATATTAACCGATTTTAACTTTTAAATTTTTATGTCTATACAGTGACAATTATGTCAGGATCTTCTTTGTTCCTTTTTCGCATTATTAAAAATCTAGACAACCCATGCATAGCCCCAACTTTGTGTAGGGTATATTGTTGATAATTAATCTTCCATCATATATCTCTACTGTATTACATTCCCATTACATTGCAAAAATATCAAATAAAAGCCAATGGTCAGCAAATATTATCTGTCAAAGCGTAAAATGTTTATTTATCATATTAAATATCAAAACATTTTTTTATTACATTTTACATAATGCCATACTATATTTACTCTATCAGTTGATCCAATATTCTTTGTGTTTTCGAAACTGTAAAGACACATACGTACATTCATTATTATTTGTAGATTAAATTAAATATACATATCAAAAGAAGTGACAATTCTTCAAAATAATGCCGATTTCAGATCGTGACTAAAAATTTAGTTGATAAAATGAAAAAAAAACACAACTAAGCATTTTTCTTGATGAGCTAGGTTGCAATGCAAAAATGCATCTACTCTGACTTGGCACATGTTTTAAGAGATTAAGTCATTCTTAATTAACTGTGTGTTATAGATAGTAAACACGTTATAAGGAATTCCAAAAATTACAACTTATCCTTGATTCCGGTAAAATCTATAGATTTTAAGCAACAAATCCATAATGAATGTATTTGCAGTTGCTTTTCTCAATTAACCGTTTCTCTATTAAACCTTATTGTGTATTTATTCTGCCGCTCTTCTTTTTTTTATCGATATGTGAATCATATATTTATAATTCCCACTATGGCGTAAACACGCAAAAGTAATGCCGACCAGAATATTCTTTGTTGGAGTGGAATTTGAACCGCAACTGCATTTCATTCAAACACACAAACTAAAGCGCTTGGAGGGGGTGCTAGGCTAGAAAACAAAAATAGAACCTTGATCTGCTTACTTTGGTATTGGCTATTTTTATTTTTATCTAAAATTTGGCTTTGTGCTGATCGCAATGTTGAATTTAATACTTACATAGTTCTCCCCTTCCATCTCCAATGATAAGATAAAATGTATATTTATGTTATAATTGCTATTGTTATCGGTTAATTCGTTGCCTTTTTTGCTCACTACTACTGTTAATTGGAGGAGGATACTTAACACAATATATTGACACATTGTCCATAAGGAATTCAAGTAGGGAAAGAATTAAAGTCGACCAAATCCGAATATGTGTTACCTTTCACATCATTTGTGTAGCCATAAGAGGTGTTCCCAATAATCGTCTCGTAGATATCTGTTACCCTTAGCTTTTTGACCCGGAGGCAATTGTCCAATATTTACGCACTACGTAGTTTTGTTAGATAATCAAAACAATTTTCTTAAATAAATTCTTAAAGTAGGGCGGGGCCGACTTTATGATATCCTACATCACTTTGTTAATTTAGTAGAGCTGCGCAAAACAATTAAAAGTTTTTATGGAAGAATTCAATCATACACGCTATGATTATAATTATAATTTAAAGTTGAAAGGAGTAAATATGCCGAAGCATTTGTATCTTTTAAATTCGGACTTGTATTGCCCATTTGGGGCAAAATTAATTTGAAATCGGATAAAAATATATATGGGAGCTATATCCAAATCGAAACCGATCTCGATAAAATTTGGCAAAGATATTTTCGAGCTTACGGAGTGTATATGACGGCTGTGGGTAACAAATACAACAAATCGGATGAACAATATATATGGGAGCTTTAGCTATATCTAAACCGATCTTCACCAAATTTGGCATGCTAGCTTCTAGACTCAATTCGGTCGCATGTGCCAAATTCCATCCCATTTGGGCAAATATTAGACGTTTGGTGTACAATAAAAAGTAAATCGGACGAAGTTATATATATGGGAGCTATATCCAAATCTGAACCGATCTCTACAAAATTTAGCAAATGTATTTCTGAGCTGTATTTGATATATTTCCCCAAATATTGTTGTTACAGAGTGCATATTACGGCTGCGGAGGAAAAAATACAAATCGGATGAACAATATATATGGGAGCTATAGCTATATCTGAACCGATTTCGATCAAATTTGGCATACTTATTTTCAGGTCCAATCTCATCGTACGTGCGAAATTCCATACTATTCGGACGGATATTACACGTTTGGTGCACAATAAAAAGCAAATCGGACGAAGATATATATGGGAGCCATATCTAAATTTTGACCGATTATCACCAATTTCAATAGGGCTCGTCCTTGGGCCAAACAAATGTTTTGTGCAAAATTTCATCTGGATAGGGCAATAAATGCGAACTGTACTTTGTTTACAAAAATACATGGACAGACGGACCGACGGAGGAACGGATGGACAGACGGAGGAACGGATGGACAGACGGACGGACGGACATGCATAAATCGACTCAGAATGTGATTCTATGCAGGTCATCAAAAGGAACTATGGATTTATCTCGTTTCCTTTTGCCTGTTACAAACAAATGCATAAAGACATAATACCCTGACCACCTTGTGGTGTAGGGTATAAAAAACTGCAACAAAGTCAAAGGCCATAATTTTTTCCTTTTTTTTAATTTTATTGAATGAAAACAAAAAATGTCGGAAATAGCATCAAATTTTTGTATAAGTTTACATTTGTTCGAATTGGTCAGTTTTGGCACGAATTATGGCCTTCAAACAGGAAATGAAATCGTCACACGCTGTCCGAATGTTGCTCTGCGGTATTTTGACCCATTCCCGGCGAAGCGCTTGTTTGAGGTGATCGACAATTCGGACACAACAGTCCAACGGATTGGTATCCGGAGATTTTGGTGGCCATTGTGCGCTGGAAATGAAGCGAGGAACCTCATTTTGTAACCATTCTTAGGTGGCGCGTGCTGAGTCCTATTGGAATGTCCAATGCCAAATGGAATATTGCGATATGTTCAGCTCTCGAGCCATTTTTCGGCCACTGCGACGCGGGTTTCGATCAAGTCGCTTGTTTTCTTTTCGAACCATTTCTGCTGATGTTGCTGTTTTCTTCCGTCCACTTCCTTGACGTCGGGCTACGCTACCAGTATCACGGTAACGAGCGATGGTACGAGACACAAAAGGTTTATTTACATTCAAATGCTGGAGTGCTCTAACGATAGCCACTTATGGGTTTCCAGCTAAACATAAAGAAATCACACTATCACGCTTAAATTCCATCACGAATAACTTTTTTTCTGGAAAATTCTCACCATAAAGCTTTTGTACGCTTGTAAACAATATAATGAGCTGTCAGTGGAATAATTTTAACAGCTGTCGGACGAGTGGCTTAGAAATGACAGCAGTCACAGAAAAATTGGTTGAATTTTTTTCATCTCACCCTGCATTCTCTTGATATTCTCTATTTTAAAGTTTAACATTTACTTTTAGTTACTTTAAATTAACACCATTTTTTATCTCTCTTTCTTCCAGAAACAAGCATATATTCCACATGGTACCAGTGATGTTGAATCGGTCAACTACAATCAACATCACCCGGCGGCATTTAGTTGCATTAAAAATGGTCTTACCATTCTGTTAATATTGGTAACAATTCTACTGGGTATCTTTGGTGGTTACATTATCTATCGATCATTTGGCAATCCTGATAATGCAACAAAATTCCATTATCGCACCCTCTGCGACGTGCCATACGAAGCGGCGAATAATGACAAACTATTTGCACCACGTTTCTATCCCCAGCCCGATGAAATGGATTTCAATTGGCTATTGCCCCATTTGAGTGGAGTTCGTGGCATGCCATTGGATGATAGTAATTTCTTTCGTGAAGAAATCGAAATGGATTTAAGTGATGACGAAAGTTATACCAAAATTAATGTGCCCGATTTTAAAGATGGACGTCATGGACGTTTTATGCATGATTTCAAGGAAAATCAATCGGCGATCATTGATGCTACAGCCAAACGTTGTTTCATTATGCCTTTGGATCGTAATACCACATTACCGCCCAAGAGTTTCGTTGACTTGATGGAGAAAATGGGCTCAGGATATTATAACATTGATACGGATCGTGTGCGCCGTAACATGCGTGTGGTATTACCGCCAATTAGCGATTTGACATTGATCTCGGAACGTATTGCCAATGAGTGTTACGACATGAAAGTGTATATGTTGGAGAATTACGTATCTGGAGGTAAGTGGGAATTGTGATATTGAAAGAACATATTTGGTATTCATGAAACATATTTTTTGTTATTTTGAAGTTTAAATAGCAGGATTCATACATTAGTCCAAAAATATGAAGAAATATAAGGAATTTTTCAGATCTCTCTCACTTTTATAAAAGCTTCTTGGTTTAAAGAAGAAAAGAATAACAGGACTGTGATTTAACAGGTGTTAAGCACCTGAGAAGAAGTGTCTCAATTTGTTGTTCTGGACTAAATGATAGAATGATTGATTTCTCATATAAGTAGAGAGATTGTCATTTAACTATGCTCTTGATATAAGGAATGGATTCAAAGCAATAATGAATAAACGAAGACGTTCTCCGGCTCGTCTATGGAGACGAAGACGATCTCCGGTTCATCTATAGAGACGGAGACGTTCTCCGACACATCTATGGAGACGGAGACGATCTCCGGTTCGTCTGTAGAGACGATCTGCGGCTCGCCCTTCGGTCGTCTATAGAGACTCTCTGGATCGTATATGGAGACACCCTTCTGGTCGTCTATAGTCTTATTTCTGGACCCCTACATCGATTTTCGAGAGCCAATGATCTTTGGATTGACGAAGCTAATCATTTTTGTTCTGAATAAAACATTCAGCTTTCCTGCTCTCCTACATCAACAAGGGATCAATGATCGAGTTCCAATGATCTCTGGATTCCAGAGGAGAACCATTGGCCTACAAATTCTACCTTACGAATCGATAGTCGAGTGTCACTGATCTCTAGATTGATCTGGTGAATCCAGTCTACCAGTTAATTAATTTTGCTCTACCTACCTCAACAAGGCATCGATAGTCGAGTGCCAATGACCTCTTCATTGAAAATGCGAAGCATTAGCGTCCAAAATTAACCAATTATTGAGATTTTTTGGTGCACGACCTCAACAAGGGATCGATGGCTAAGTGCCAATAACCTCTGCATTGGCGAGGCGAAACATAGTCATTTCAAATAACCAATTAATTCGATTTTCTGGTGCTCTACCTCAATAAGGAACAATTGTCGAGTGCATTGACGACGCAAAACATTATTTCTTGGAACACTATCTCAACACAAGGAATCGATGATCAGGTGCCATCCCTAATTAGTCACCTCAAAGAAGTACTAAGTCAGGTGCGAAAATGGTCAATACCGGTCCACTCTATCAAGTACCTCCCCCACAACGGGTCAAAATTTTGAATAATTACAACTCTTATAAAATGTGATCTAAGAGTCCGAATGTCTTCAAATTTCACATATCTCAATAATTTTATTAACCCAATGTCTGGTGTTAAGATGGAATATATTGGTCCACTCCTTCTGGTACATCCCCCACAAATGGTCGCAACTTTCCAAAAATATTTTTTTTGCACAGAAAGAGAAACGATAATGCGATTTTGCTCCAACTTTGCAAATCCAAATATTTGCATCAGTGCTAGGTCAGGTACGAAAATGGATAATATTGGTCCACTCTATCAAGTACCTCCTCCCACACAAAGGGTCAAAATTTTGAATAATTACAACTCTTATAAAATGATGTAAGAGTCCATTTATCTTCAAATTTCACACATCTCAGTAATTTAATTGAGCGAAGGTCTGGTGGTAAGATGGAATATATCGGTCAACTCTTTCTGGTACCTCCCCCACAAAGGGTAAACATTTTGAATATTCATTAAAGTAATAAAACGCAAAACAAACATCCGATTCCATTTAGACTTGGCAGATCCGAATATTTCTATCAACACAGGAGATGTTATAAAAACGGTAGAGATCGGACCATTCCCTCTGGTGCCTCCCCCACAAAGGGTCAAAGTTTTGAATAACCAAAACGTTTATAAAATCCGAAATAAGCACCAGGTTCTCTTTATATTTCACACATTCCATTTCCAACTAACACAAGATCTGTTGTGAATATGGAATATATTGGCCCTCTCCTTCTGGTACCTCCCCCACAAAGGGTCAAATTTTTGAATATCCATGGAGCGAAATTAACATCCAATTCCATTCAGACTTAGTGCATCTCAATATTTCCATCAACACAAGATCTGTTATAAAGATGGTAGAGATCGGACCATTTCTTCTGGTATCTCCCCGCATAGTGTTCAAGATTTTGAGAAACGAAACGCTTTTCCAATTTCACACATACAAACATTTTTGCTAACACAAAATATGTTGTGAAGATGATATATAGCTGTGAACCCCTTCTGGTACCTCACCCACAATGGGTCACAATTTTCAATAATTTTATCTCTTATAACTTACGGGATGAATATGGATTTTTTTATGATGAAATTACCAATATATACCAAACCCGACACGTCGCAATATTTATATCGTATTTATTTAGGTCCGATATGGAATGGTCAATATTGACAGAACCGAGTGATACTTTTTAACTTGTTTTTTTTTTTTCATTTATTAACTTTGTTCCTTTCTTTTGTTCTCTTCTATTTCAAGTTTTCAAACGCGAGGCAAAACCAATCTCATCGAATGGCAAATTTGCCGAATATTCCGGTAAAGGTGTGGTAGAATTTGATCTTGTTAATATTGCCGACATTGAAGAATACGAACGACAACATCCGAAATAAGGATATTTTATTTGAATCAAATCGTCGTTATCAATTATATCAACATATGACAACAGAAGTAAATATAGAAAATTACAATTATATATTTGTAATCTTAACTAAACAAAGAACATAGAAAAGAAGCAAAACAAACAGATAAATATGATCTCGTACCCAGGGGCGAGTGTCTTTTCAAATTTTTTTTTCAGTAGTTTGTAGATTTCCTAATTGTAATTAAATAAATCATGATCTGGATAATATTTGATTTTTTGTAAACAGAAAAAAATGTGTAGCATAGCACTGCCTATCAGAAATGATTAAACAATTAAATATGAAGATAATGAATTGGAATTTCGCAAATGTATAAATTGTTTAAACATTTCTGAAATGGTTCTCCTTTTTTTAGTATATTCTTACAAATTTAACTTTGGTCGATTTATTTTAATTGTATTATATCAAAAGAATTTTAATGAACACACAAATTTTGGTGCAAATAAATGGTATTCTTTGATGCTATAAAATATATTTTTATTGTTACACATTTCGTTTTGAAAACGGTGGCCTAGTAGTTTGTAACGGCTTTCAAGCTTGCCGGAACATTTACAAACAACTCCACTATGTCTTTGAGAATAATGTTTACATTCCCCCTTTATTCCGTTAATTTTAAACAATAAATTTCTTTTTCTGTAATGCACACAATAAAGATATTCAAAAACACTCTGGTACCTTTAAACAAAAAATAAAAGACAAAAATAATATTGAATTGAGTTTTGTTTTTATATTTCCAAGGGTTTTTGGTTCAGTCCATACTTTTTTCTTTTTTTTTATAAATAATTAGGATAACACCTTTCCAAAGTTTTTATCGATGTTATGAGCTTTTTTTGTATATTAATGAGAAGAAAAAAAAAACATGAAGAAATATTTATTCAATTTTTAAAGCAATGTTTAGCAGAACAAAAACCCTAATAACAACAAATCAGTTAAAAATACTTGGTATTCAAACTTTCAAATACAAAACAAAAAACAAGTGAATTATTCAATAAATGTTATTAACGAAGTAAACATACAAAACTATGATGAAGTGGTGTGTATAATCTTTTATGATGATCAGACAAAGAATTTAGAAATTAAGAATCTAAATAAAAATGTATTAAAATGCTATAAATGTTAATAATTTAAGGTGTTTTTCTTTAATTTGTGTTATTTTTGTGTAAGGTAATGGATTGTAAGCTTGGTACAATAAATAAAAGGTAGAGTATGGTACAGACTCAATTAAATTCGTCATTTTTATTAGTGTGTTTTCATTAGAGCTTAGCAGGGTTAATGTCCTCTACGATTTGTTTTGTTTGGCCTATATACAATGAGATTGGCAATTTAAATCCTCAGGCTTTACTAAATCCCGTAATCTGTAAACCCTGTTCTCCCAAATTTACTAAAGGGAAGAATTAAAATAACCTGATTTTAAATAAATTGTAAATAAATGCATGTTCTGTAACTCCCTGTGTAGAATCAGAGAGAACTCCTTGTGTAGAATTTCAGACGATATCATTGAAAAATGTAACTAAAATCATCAAAATTCTGTATGGAGGTACAGCTATATGGCGAGTATACGATATTGTGGAACTATATTGACAATTATCTTTCAGGGGGTAAAGTACTAAGAAGGAACTCCTTGTGTGGATTTTAAGCCTATTCCCATGGTAGAATTAAGAAGGCAAAGTCATGTAATCATATGTTCGCAATTTTTTTTTCAAATTTATACATTGGATAACATCTCATTGTCAAAATCGATATTCATAAATCCATTGTATACACCATGGTAGAAATATACAGGTAGATGAATCAACGCTTGGGAACATTGATATGTCAAAATTTTTTAAATATTTCTGCAAAAAAAAGTAGATTTGTCTATGTTTTACCACACAACGCCAATCGGAGGTTGTTATAATATGCATTTTTTAATAATTTTTACAAATTTGAGTAATTTTTCATTCAAAAATTTCGATTCCAAAAATGGTTTGACAGTTCATTGTCCCAGCAGCTGTGTCCATGGTAGAAGAATATAGGTAGACGTCGACACAGTCGACACAGCTGCTGGGACAATGAACTGTCAAACCAATTTTGGAATTGAAAATGTTGAATGAAAAATTATTTAAATTTGTAAAAATTGTTGAAAAACGCGAATTATAATAGCCTCCGAATGACATAGTATAAGAAAACATATAAAAATCTACTTATTTTTGAAAAAACATTTAAATTTTTTTGTCATATCAAAGCGTTGATGCATCTACCTGTGTTCTTCTGCCATGGCATGGACACAAAGTCAGAGATGGGAACTGTTTTTTATGCCCTAAAATTTGACATGGTAAATTACAGAAAATCCAGAGCTGGGAATGCTAATTTGAAATAAGGTTACCTTTATTTCATTGTACCATGCCTATTCCATGAAAATTGTGACTAAAATCATCAAAATGCCGAATGTCGGGAGGTACAGTTATATGGGGGATATACGATGTCGTGAACCGATGTAGCCCATCTTCGAACTTGACCTGCCTGCAGACAAAAGGGAGATCTGTGCAATGGTCACGAAGAACTACTTGTGTAGAATTTCAGACAATTTCATGGAAAAATGTGGTTAAAATCATTAAAATACCGAATATTGGGGTTACCATTATATGGGGCCTATACGATATCGTGGACCATCTTCGAACTTGACCTGCCTGCAGACAAAGGACAGATCGGTGCAAAATTTTAACTACCTATCTTAATTCGTTTTGACTCCAGCGAATTTTACGCTGATCGAGAATATATATACTTTGTTGGGTCCAAAATTATTATTTCAATAAGTTGCAAACGGAATGACGAACTTAATATATCCTCCATACTATGTATAGTGGAGGATATAAAAAGGAGAAGAGCTGTAGGTGGTTGCAACAAGAAATTTGACTGGTAGAATTTTTATTTATAAAGTGAGAAATTCACCACGGAATTTTTATGATTATTAACCAAAATTATACTGCCCCGCTAATCTTTTTGGCTCATGTCTACTTTTTTTCAAATTCAACGATAAAACATCGATAAATCACATGCGGCATTTTGTCGTTTAAACGATTAGGTCAAAAGTCGATCTATACATCCCTTGAACGTAGCATTTAAACACCATATACAAATTACACAGATTACTTGGCTTGCGTTCACATTCGCTTAATTTTTGAACTAAATTCATAACAAAATAATGAAACGAACCAGACAATCGCTTGTTGCCGATGGCAAACACTCGAATAGTAGTTACAATCATCAAAAAACGCAACAGGATGAACGAGATGTGTAAGTCGAAGCGGTAATTTCATTGATTTTTGTAAGATTACTACAATTTACATTTCAATAAACATTGCAGACGACGGAGAAAACGCTGGAATGAAGACTCGGAGGAGTATTTAATACAATTATGGTATCATAATGTTGATATTTTACGCGGGAATCGTCGAACCGGAGATGTGTATGAGGAATTTGCCAAAGAAATGGCAAGTGAAGGATATCATTTCACAGCTGTTGAGATACAATGTAAACTGCATAATTTAACAAACAAATACAAGTAAGTATCAGATATCATGGCAGTAGAAGTAAAGGCAAACGTCTTTTAGTTTTCTTAAATTAAACAACAAACACGAGGGTAATTTGTTGTTGGAATGTAAGTGTTATTGTCAGGGATGTAAAACACCAATGGGATGAATTTAAAAATGTGATCATTCCATGGTAGAATACAGGTAGTCGCATCGACACAGCTGCTGGGACAATGAACTGTCAAACCAATTTTGAAATTGAAATTTTTGAATGAAAATTTATTTTTAATTTTGTAAAAATTGTTGAAAAATGCATATCATAACATCCTCTGATTGGTGTCGTTAAGGAAAAATACAAAAATCAACTTATTTTTGAAAATACATTTCGAAAATTTTGGCATATCAATGTTTCCAAGCGTTAATGCATCTACCCATATTCTTCTACCGTGGATCATTCCTAAAACTGGTTATATATGATGATTTATTTGTTCGTTTTTTGATGTTATCTAAATGTAATGCAAATTCAGATTACTTGATTTTGAAATGAAACTCCTTCATTACAATGCCAGTCACATGTAGTTTCTAAATTACAGTAAACAATAGATATATAACGAATCAATAAAAAAGTGATGTTTTGATGTTGTCATTATATAATATCGGTTGTAATGGTACTAAAATTTGTAACTTGTAGGTTGGAAAAAAGGAAACTTGCTATTGAAGGTGGTATTTCAGAATGGAGATTCTATTCAATTGTGGATAAAATCTATAAAGCCCTAAGAAGCGATCCAGATGAAACACTGGAAAATCGGAACAAGGAAATAGAAGAAGAGGAAGGTATGTAGATCTATTTTCAATTTTTAAAAATAATAATGCCTTATTCTTTATTTTAGATACTAGACAGTATTATAATGAAGACTCAATGCTCAGTGCGGAAGAAATCGACAATCCCGTAAAGAAAATAGAAATCGAGTCACACAAAGACGAATCATTCTATAGTAATGAGGAAGTAGTAAACGATTTAAAGCCAGTCAAAAAGTCGGAGAGTGCACAAAAGCAGTCTAGACCAAAACGGGATTACAATAGGGAAATTTTGGAAATGTTGAAAAACTGTCAAGACATAATGCAAACAGAAGCAGAAGAAAGAAAAAAATCCGATGCAAAAATGTTACAATTACAGAGAGAACTTGTCGCCATCGAAAAAGAGCGTAACGAAATATTGAAAGAACTATTGGCATAAGTTATGGTGGAATGTGCTATGGCACTGATTAAATTGTAGAATAGGCGGTATTCATATTTTATAATTTAATTTTTAGCAGCTTCATTTAAATTTATTTCTACATACTTTTTTAATTTATATGAATTGATTATAAAAGTCTGTAGCTATATGGTACGTATTTAGTTTTTGACAATTTTTTCAATAAAAAAGATGTTATATGATTTGAAAAATCATTTAGCTCAAATCGATTAGGTGAGCGAGCATGTAGAAAAAGAAAGCTCAATTAAGAAAAAAAAATATATTATGAATGGATTAGTGAAAGAAAACACATGCTTGGAAAGCTTTGCTATTCATCTGAGACATGTTTAGGGTGGCTACTGACCTACCTTGGTTAATTCCTATTCTAAATTTGCAGAACAAGACTACTTTAACTTAAGTTATGTCCGCCAACTGCAATTGAAGTTTTTTTAAGTATCAAATTTTTACAAATTAATACATTTTATTCAAACAAAAAAGTAAATATTTTGCATTCAACTCAGTCTTCTTTTACACTTTGTATCGTACATATGAATTGCCAAACAATTTCTAATTTCCTCTGCACGTAAATTGAATTCAATCGACTCAAATTCCTGTGTCTGATTTTTGGACAGTCTATCATCAAATTTGAGCTGTTTCTCTATCCATTGGGGAAGAAGATGGTCATTTTCGTTTTGTAGGAAATTATGAAGTATACAACAGGTGTATATTAGATTTGCAGCATTATGTGTACTTGTCGGAATGCCATTAGTGAGACGACCGAAACGTGCCTTCAGTTGCGTAAGTGTTTCGTCAACCAGTTTATGGCATTGAAGTAATTTTTCATTGAACATTTTTTCCGGGTCGGAAGGGGTGATGCCGCACACAAAGGGTTTCATTACATGCTCGGATAAATTAAATGATAAATCACCAATAATGAAAACCGGAATTTCAGTGCCATTGATGAATTTAGTTCTGTCTTTGATTGTGTCGCTGGCAAACATTTTCGGCAACGGGGTGTCATTGTATAGCGTTAAATAACTCCAGCTGTCATGGCTATCCACATAGGCATAGCGGAATGTGTGACTAAAAAGGGAAAAAAGTTTTTATTATAAATATATTTTTTTTTTTAACGAAAAAATCCAAATTCATACTTGTGGTCCACCAAGGCTAGCAATGTCAAGTACTCTTTACCATCGCTGCTTCGGCAATTTAAATCAAAGCGATAACCATCTGTACCAAAGGAACATATTAAACACAGTCTACAAATATAAGTTTGTACTACTCTCACCAATTGCCCCAAAGCATTGTGGTACACCCAGTTCTTCAAAACCCCTTACACACTCATCCATTGCCTCAGGTGTTAGAAAATTTCTTGGCAAATATTGTTTTTTCATTGTTTCCAAAACAGTTTCGGTAAATGTTTTCAATAAAATACATACAGTAGATTTTCCTATACCGAAAATGTTACTAACTTCTGAATAAAACTTTGCGCTTCTTAAAGTGTACAAACATATAGCAACTCTTTTGTCCAATGGTATACATTTACGCAATTCACTATCATTTTTGGTCATAGGGATTAACATTTCACACAATTTGTTAAATGATTTCCGATTCATGCCGAAGTTTTCTTTGAATTCACTATCAGACATGGCTTGGGCCTGGACTTCCCAAAATGTGGTTTCCTGGGACTGGAAATACACAAGGAGGGTGATATAGAACAGAAATAACTTTTGGTGAAATCTCAAAAATTAACACTTACATATGTCCATACAGAGCGATAGCGAATGGGTTCATCCATTATGGAACAAATCAAATGTATTTGTTTCAATTGTAGCATTTGGATTCTTCTAATGGAGTCATTTCTTCGCTTTCTATAGTAGTCCATTAGAAGCTTGGTTTTGGTGACCCGGGAGTCCAATAAATTTAGTTTTAACACTATTTCTTGTTGTCTCGAAAGGTCCTTCATTTTAAACTCCGGGAATATGGGAATATTGGAGGGCTCGTTTACAAACAAAATATTAATTACGAGGAACAGTCAGCTGTTTTCATCGGAATTTTTGTAAATCTAAATATTTGTTTACACTAGGGATTTAAATAAACCCTAGAAAAGTATTTTGAACAATTGAAGTGCAGAAATGTTAAAATGTGTTGCTTAAAAAAAAAAAAAAAAACAATGATTCCCTAAAAGTTAAACCAGCTCCAAAAATATTAATAATTTATAATAATAAAAACAATTTGTTAAGTTATCGATAACTTTATCATGATGCGTTATCATTTTACCAGACAATAAAATGATTCTTTTTGCTAGAGACAAAAGCTTTTAAAAATTTTGGAATATACTCGTGGTAAATGTGTAATTTTTATCATACTAGGAAATAACACTTGACTTGTCACTTGACATTTCCACCAATAATCAATATTCATTTTCGGGTTACCGATAATATTTTACCGGCATGATATCATCTCGCAGTTCCTTATCTTTACTAATAAAAAGAAGAAGACACATAAACCCATTAATTGTTATATGAAATAAAAACAATAATTAAATAATCAAAAAAATACATAATTCTAAATGAATATGTATGTGTTAAGAAGAATATTGGAGAAAGATTTGGTTCTCATAAGACCCTATACAACAAAGGCCAAACGTAGTTTACTTAAACAAGATGAGTCCAAAGTGCCAGGTAAATATTTAGTAACTCCATTCCGGTAAGCATGTGAGAAATAACAACACCACCTTTCCTTTTCCACAGTTATGAATAAGAAGCCCTCCGATCCCCACAAATTACGGGTTTATGGCTGGGGTTATCAGGAGACAGGAGCATTGGGGAATATTATAAATATTAAAAAAGCCCAGGAACGTTACACAGCTATGGTACATCATCCAACGAGAATGCAATTTTCCGTCAACAATGAAGTTTTAGATATAACGGCGGGTTATGGATTCTCAGCATTTGCTGTAAACAGATCGGACGGCGAGACACTGTTTGGCACGGGTTTAAACACCGACTCACAATTGGGTCTGCAGGTCAAGTAGGTATTCACAAATTACTACAATTGAATATAATAAGAGAAACCTGTTCTCATCCCACCTAGAGGTCATCCAAAAGATCCACAGAACCTTGATGTAATTATTTATCCAACCCCCATAAAACTACCACGTGTTGAGGGTGAAACTGATGAGGATATGATGGTACGTTCCATGTCGGCCGGTAGAGCACACTTGGTAGTGGTTACCAAGAATGGCAGTATTTTTACAATGGGCAACAATTCTTATGGCCAATGTTGCCGAGAAATTATTGAAGACGAACAGTATCGGGGAAGCACACTCATACACAGGCTTTCGGAAAAGGATATTTGTGGTGAGGAAGACACAATATTGAATGTTGTATGTGGTCAAGATCACACCATGTTCTTGACCAAACTCGGACATGTTTACACCTGTGGCTGGGGAGCAGATGGTCAAACGGGACAGGGTCATTATATGACAAACGGAAGAATATCTCAAGCTCTGGGAGACATATCTCGGGAACATATTGTAAAGCTGAGCTGTTCGTCTGACTGTGTGCTGGCCCTAAATGACAAAGGTGAAGTTTTCGGTTGGGGTAATTCGGAGTATGGCCAATTGGATGATTCCGAGGATGCTGAGAGTCAAATTAATTCACCACGTCATTTAGCCTTGACCAAGGGAATTGGAAAATTCACTGATATAGCTGCTGGCGGCTCGTTTTGTATGGTCCTGAATGAGGAGGGTCTTGTGTATACCTGGGGATATGGTATTTTGGGCTTTGGCCCCTATGTAGAACAATCGTCGAAGCCCCAACATCTACTGCCAGCGCTATTTGGACGCAATGATTTCAGTGAAACAACATATGTCAAATCCATTGGTTGTGGTGTTTTCCATATGGGAGCCATTAATTCGGATGGTGATTTATTTATGTGGGGTAAAAATCGTTGCGGCCACTTAGGTTTGGGACACAAACAGGACCAATTCTTCCCGCTTAAAACTGCAGTGAATGGAAAAGTTAACAAAGTGGCGTTCGGTGTTGATCACACATTGGCTATGTGTACACCGTTTATGTGAAGCAGTAGTTTTAATATTTGTTTTATTGTTGTTTTAGCTTAAGGGATTAAAATAATAACAATGAAAAGCTATAATATAGCTTGACTGACTACAGATACTACCTAGTCATTTTAATTTTAGCATTTAATTTTTTAAAGACGGCCTCATTATTCGTTTTAACTTCACATTTCCAAGAAGGGCATGCTTGGAAGAAATCAACAGCGCCCCCTATATGTGACATTACTATTTCCAATTTGCATTATCAAATTGCCTATTGTCGTAAATCAAATTGTCTCTAAAACGTATTTTGAGCTCTATTCGTGGTAGAAGAATACAGTTTTCCTTATACCATGGCACTTTTAATCCATTTCCCTCGATAAAAAACGATTATTCGATCTATCAATCTAAACTCCAACTTTGGAATGCTATTGGAAAAGCTGAAAAGCCAAAGGTCTCAAGTCCAGAGCAGTACTTTATTTTGATCGTTAACATACAGAAAATTATCGTTAATTTAAAACTTATTGAAATTGTGAGCATTTTAATTTAATCGAATTCTATGCAGAATACCATTAATTAACCTATCATCTATACAAAAAACAATTTTTTCAGCGATCTATATTAAATCTACAACGATAACACCTGCTTTGACACTTTCTTCAATGACCTCTCTGCTTCGTTGCCAACTTTAGATTGTGGTGTTGCCATCATTATTTACCACCAAATGTACAAAAACGATAGGTCACAATCGATGTACATATCCCTACATGTCGATTAATCGATAGGTCGCCAAACGACTCACATATCCCTGTCATTCATATGACAGACGGTTAAAACGCAAGAGGTCGGATTCGCGTAGAAGACGAACGAGAAAAAGAGTGGAAGCGAAGAGAAATTAAAGAATTTTTCTTAAAGTAATTAAATATTTAACACTAAAATTATATAGAAAATTCTAAAATATTCAGTGAAGGTGAAAAATTACACGCAAAAGCCGTTTAAAGTCTGGCAATAAGGTAAACGAGAAAAAAGAAAAGAAAAAAAAATCGAATTGTTGTCTCCCATCCCCACAAAACCAACAACAAGCAAGAGAAATAGAAGAAAAAAGTGAATCGAGAAAGAAAAATTGTCGTTTGTATAAAATTTGCAAGTGAAATTTTCCAAAGGTGAAATATGTTCGATGAAGTTTGCATAAAATATCGAGTGAATTAATACAAGAAAAAAGATATTTTCCTTGGTGGTGAATCTCAAATTGAAATTGTGTTGAAAACCGAAAACCTGTGTGTGTGCGTTTACATTTGGGGAAACATATATAGGTACATATATGGCAATTGGCTGCAGTTTAGTTTTCCTCCCATCATAAATCTTACTATTGTCGTCATCGTTGTCGCTTGGTCATACATTTGGTGTGATACTTTTGTTTGGATCGACGGTGTTTATTGAATGGTATTAACATCAAAAAATATTTGTGATTTAAGTGAGAAAGAAAAGAAAAAAAATAGATTTGGAAAAAAGTTTGCAAAAAACGCTTTGCACCACCCAACAACCGAGCAGGACTTTGATAACGTACCAAAAATCACCGTAGTAGCCGTAGCAGCAGAAGCAGCGGCCGCAGGAAGTTTGGAGTATCCACAGCCGTTTTGTATGAAAATGCATTAAAGGGCTGGGGCTGCTTTTTCCAAACGCAGAACAAAAAGGAAAACGCATTTTCATCGTTCCTTCGTCTCCGGTAGGTACACACACAAAAATATCCATCCATCCAACCGCACACACGTATATAAATATATATCCAGTCATTTTATCCCTATATAAATATATATTCTGTTGTAGAGTAAAAAAGCAAGTGATGAGAAGTTCATTTGCGCTCGCCGTGCTCATCCATAGCCCAATGTACCCATAGGTGTATACATGTATGTTTGTATGTATAAAAATACGACGGACGATGTTTAGTTCTTCGTTTCATCATAACATCGTGAAATTCTTCCTTATGCTCCTGTGGCAGAAAAATTCATGCTCTTTCTCTTACAACAAACAACTCCCATTTTTTGTTATTTAGGGATTCCATTTCTTTGCTGCTGCTCCCTTTTTTGTGAGCTGGCTTGATAACTTTTGAACGGGTATGCCGCCGTTGTGTATGTTTTGATTATTCCTTTTTTTGGTGTAGTTCTCTCTTTTTATACAACTCTCTTGTCACTCTCAGTCTTTTTAATCAGTGGTTGTGATGAGCGAAAAAGAAAATTTCACAAACACCACCCCGAAATGCAAAAGTTTACCAACCAACCAGCCCAAAAGGAAATTCACCTTGTTTTTAGATATCCCGTTGCTCTATTCACCATTTTTGTTTGCCGCGTCTTTCTCTATCTCTCTCACTTCGTCTCTCATTAACATTTTACGTCAGTTCCTGTTGTCACGTAAACACTCTTTTTTATTGTGGTGGCAGTGGTGGAGTATTGTTCTTTGGATCCTTTGTGCATTTGGGAAATTAAATTCCAATTGCCCGCCATCCCCACCCTCTTGCTCTCTCAAATGTTCTCTCTCACACGCCTTGCTCTCCCTTGATTTGTTTGTTGGTATATTTTTGTGCATTTTTTATTATTATTGAAAGGAAGCCGGTATATTTACCGTTACACCGACCGGTTGTGTGTTTATTTTCCTTTCCATATCGGCAATACACCCCCTCCCCATTGTGTGTTCGCCACACGCAGCACACGACGTGCCAAACAACCTATTTTTGTTGTTCTTGCTTTTGTTGTTTTTTTCTATTAACACCCCTTTTTGCTGAAAACAACCACTTTTCTTATATTTTTGTTTTTGTTCGTTTATGGTGTTAGCAGTTTGCGCTGATATGCTTCTTTGGAGCAGTTTTTTAAACGTTTTCGTTGCTGTTGTTGTTGTGATAATAAAAATTATTTAGTTTTTTATTTATTTATTTTAGGGCAAATGTGTATTTTTAATACAGACGCCAGAAAAAGGCAAATATTGTTTGCATAATTTTTGGAATTAGACCCGTCTGGCGTTTATAGAATTCATGGCGGATTTGTCTATATCAATCTGGTGGTGAATAGATTCGAGTCCCACCCACAATGTTGGTGTTAGTTCCGTATGTTTTATATATGAATATAGATTATTCTAATTGGAGATCTTCCTATCAAAGTTAGGATAGTCCGATATTGAGAGACGATTGTATGAACACATAAATAGCATAGGAAATGTGAGCGGACATGAAGAGTTTGCATAGATTTGGAAAGGAGAAGGCATGTCAACATAGGACAGGTATAAATCTGTTAAAAGGAAAAACTAAATGATGTTACCGGTGATAACTATTATCTACATATGTTCGACATAGAACAATGTGATTCTGAAGTGAGTGATCGTTTCATGTCATGCCGTACTCAAGCTATATCAGGTTTTTCCTACTAGATTGAATGTTGAGTTTCCAACTAGAATAAAAATAGTCAAATTGTGGATCAAAACACCTCTTTAAGCATGATTAAAATCGGTTCTGATTATATATGTTAAATTTGAATTCTCCAAATGAGAAGACCTTCGGGTCTGCTATGAGAAAACCGTTTCGGACCTGCTATTAGAAGACCTTTTCGAGGTCTTCTATGACAAGACGTTAAGGACTTTTATGAGAAGATTTTCAGGTCTTTTGTGAGAAGTCCATTGTCTTTTATGAGAAGATCTTTTCGTTTTCCAATGAGAAGACCAATTCTGAGAAGACCTTTGAATCTTTTATGAGAAGTCCTTCGGGTTTTCTAAGAGATGATCTTTGTTCTTCTATGATAAGACCTTCTCCTCTTCTATGAGAAGACTTTTTCATTTTCTTTCAGAAGACCTTCGTGTTTGTTAAGAGAAGACCTTCACGTCTTCTATGAGAAGACCTTCACGTCTTCTTTGAGAAGACGTTCTTCTCATAGAAGACCTTCACGTCTTCTATGAGAAGAATTTCACGTCTTCTATGAGAAGACCTTCACGTCTACTATGAGAAGACCTTCACGTCTTCTATGAGAAGACCTTCACGTCTTCTATGAGAAGACCTTCACGTCTTCTATGAGAAGACCTTCACGTCTTCTATGAGAAGACCTTCACGTCTTCTATGAGAAGACCTTCACGTCTTCTATGAGAAGACCTTCACGTCTTCTATGAGAAGACCTTCACGTCTTTTATGAGAAGACCTTCACGTCTTCTATGAGAAGATCTTCACGTCTTCTATGAGAAGACCTTCACGTCTTCACGTCTTCTATGAGAAGACCTTTACGTCTTCTATGAGAAGACCTTTACATCTTCTATGATAAGACCTTCACGTCTTCTATGAGAGGACCTTCACGTCTTCTATGAGTAGACCGCTTCGTTTGCTTCTTGACAACCTATTGAAAGTTTTCTGAATCTATCATTGGAACCTCTAATTCTTATAACGGGGTTTAAGGCAGTGATTGCAACCGAGCGCCTACAGTTGTGATGGTGTCTCAGAAAACCCTTTGCTACCCGAAATAAGAAGGGCAGGGCAATATGAAACTATTTGTTTTCTCCGATGAGAAAACATTCGTTGTGCAGCAGTTTATAAACAAACAAAATGATTGTGTTTACTTGCTCGATCGCCTCAAGCAAGCGCTTCGCCGGGAATGGGACACAATCCCGTCGAGCAACATTCGGGCAGCGTGTGACGGTTTCATTGGCCGTCTGAAGGCCATAATTCGTGCCAAAGGTGACCAATTCGAACAAATCTATATTGCAAAATTTGATGCTCTTTTCGACATTTTTTTTTGCTTTCATTCAATAAAATTTAAAAATTATGGCTTTTGACTTTGTTGCAGTTTTTTTTATCTCACCCTGCATATATTTTTTCTCTAAGCGCAAAAATTCCAAATGTGCTTTATTTGTTTCAATATGAGAGGGTTACCTGTTGGCTTCAGCTCCACGTTGGGCGCCACTAAAAAAGATTTTCTTCTAAGGATCTATGGTTCCGAATTTTTCCATGCATCGTGAATGTCTTGATTTAGAATCAAACCAATTTTTCTTATTAAAGTAATATTGCGTCCCACTGTTTTGTTGAAAAATGCTGATTTCAGCTCCTTGTTGGGCGCCATTAGAACATTTAAAATAAAACTATTTTCCCCAAAGACACAAACTTTTCAATTTTTACATTAATTGTGATTGTCTTGTTTGAGAATGAAAAAAATTCCTCCAACGAAAAAAATAAATTATGTGTCCCTTTGCCTTGTCCGACAAAATGTTTTCAGTACAAAAGATTTGTTTAAATTAAAACTCATTGCTATTACTAACATACTCTCCGAAATCTTCCAATACAAATCTACGACAAAAGGGTTAATCAACGGGTATTTGGACAAAAGCACAAACAAAAAAAGGATTGCAACAAGGATTCCAAAGGCCCAGACATAACAACACATAGGACATGTCATTAAAATCAACTGATGACCATATGGTGGAACAAATACATAGAGAAAGAAGGAACGAAAGGACAGGCTGCTGCAGCAGCAGCATGGATTCAATGTAACGACACACAATTATTCAATGTCCTTTCTCTTTATCAACAACAACAACATCAACATGGTCGTCCTCCTCATCAGCACCAGAAACATAAAAAACCAACAATAACAACAAATTTCAACGTACATAATCATTGTTGAAGTTGGAGTTCTTTTCGGAGCCCATTCGATCGTTCATTGTACTTGTATGTACTGTCCGGCTCTGGCTACTCCAACTCCACCCTCTACTCTTTTGTGTATAAAAGTTGATTTTTGAAAAATTTTCGTATTTGCCTCGTTACTCTACTCTGGAGCGGCAGTCCCCCCACGATTCCTTTTTTTTTACTCTGTTTTGCTGTTGTTAATTGTTTGTTGTTGCCGAGTGGATATTTTGTGTGTTTTCTCGTTTACCCCCCACTCCCTATCTCTCTCTACCTTGTTTTTAAAGCTTTCACTAGACTTCGTTTCGTTTCATTTGTGTATTTTTAACGGTGCCGGTGTGCTTCGTTCCTTCCGTTGATATGATGGAGTTCGTTCGTTTGGTCGTTCGTTCGTTCATTTGTGTTCGTACAAGGACTAGAAAGGCGTTTGCCTTGCCGTTTTCATCAATTGTTTTCTTGTCTATGTGTGTGAGTGGGTGTGTGTTTTCGTTGTATGCCTTAGTTAGCAACTGTGTAAGTGGGCAAATGGGAATCAGTGTTTGGGTGTGTGTGTGTGTGGGGGGGGGGGGGGGGTGGGTTTGTACAATATCCAACGAATTGAAAAATCACTACCAAATTGTTGTTATGCTAACGACCGGAGAAATTTAATGACGTTTTGTTAGGTTTGCATTGTTGGGTTCAAATTTGGTGCCGTGCTTGGTGTACAGGGATTTTCTTTACCATGGTGACCCTTTGAAGACCAGGGACATTAATGGTCTTAAATCTAAGAATACAGAGGCCATGTTCTTAAAAAAACTGCTACAAATTTAAATATAAAATTCCTTTCTATAAACCCTCAACGGAAGGAATGGAGAGATATAGATGGCAATACAGGGTGAGATGATAAAACTGCAAGCAACTTCAGACTTCTGCCATTTCTAAGCCACTAGTCCGACAGCGATTTTAAAATTATTCCAGTGACAGCTCATTATATTGTTTACAAGCGCACCAAAGCATTTTGGTGAGAATTTTCCAGAAAAAAATGTTATTCGTGATGGAATTTAAGCGGGATAGAGTGTTTTTTTATATTTGGCTGGAAA